ACCACCTCCTCCGCCACCACCTCCTCCTCCACCTCCACCAGCACCATCATCAAAATCAAAGTCATCGTCTTCGCCACCTCCATCAATATCAACGATCAATGATAAACTACCAAGCATATCATATCGTCCACGACAACGTCCAGCACCTCCAAGCCCAACTCTTTCTTCAGCGGTGACCCCTATTGTTGATGGTATGAAGCTGGCAACCTACCTTGGAGATGTGGAAGATCTTATAAAGCTTCGACTCACTCATGATGACAAGGCGAGTAACAATGAACGCCATGCACGAAGAACACCACAACAACCTATACGACTGGTAACAGTGGATGGATTTACATTATCATTTGATTCTGTGCTTTTAAGAAAGGTAAGTTAAGCTTCATTATGGATGAGTGCATTCGATTCATTGACATGTTGCATATATTTAGAGTAATATACAAACACCTACTGACACAAGATCTCCCTTGGATTCACCTCTTGACATCAAACTCGATATTCCACCAACGACAGAAGAATGGATGGCAAATGAATCGGCCAATGACTGGATTGGAAAAGCAACCCAAACCTTGCAGGATCTAAAACGTAAAGCAATGTCCATACAAGATGGTGATACGAGTAAGTCTATTGATAATGAGGATGATCAAGGTAGTAATGGATCAATGTTAGGTTCGGATTTGAGTGAGCTTTCTGGGACGACAACAGATACGCTTCTTCAAACATTACGTCGACATGGCTTGAATTGGACTCTTCAGCTTGTTACGGAAGGCAACAATATTATCAATCAGGATACTGTGGAACCCATTGCTCTTGATAAGATATCGCAGAACATATACCTGGATGATCATGATTTATATATTGTATGGATGTCGATTGTGTATTACTACATCTTTGATACGGCACCCGAATCGATTATGCGACGATACACCAGCATTGCAGCAGGAAAGGGGGCATCCAACAAACCAATGTTTACGATTAATTGGGCAGCAGCTGTGGCAGAAGCACCATTAACACGATCCGAACAAATTGGAACGGCCAATCTCTTATTGTCCATGGTGCGTCTTTTTGGGAAAAAGGCGAGAGGCAATCATACCAAGCGGCCATTGTTGATGGGAGTCTGGCATACATTACTCAACTTTTTGGCTCATATCGAGTGTTACAAGAAGGCGGGCACATTGACTTTGCTTCGAAAAGGATTGGATGTGGAAGCTCTGGCACCCGAGATATTCGATACAGCAGCGCAACTCGAAATACAACTCAAAGGACGAGCTGCAGCCATCCAACATCTACAACAATACGCCAAAAAGTTACCGGTTCGGATCAAGCTGATCATTGCCTATCGATGTGCACGTAGTCTTGAGCCCAACGAATCGAGTTCACAGGAAGAATTATGCGAAGCAGCACGACTTGTAGCGTTACCCATGAAGGACTTGTATGATATTAAGCATGATGAACCTTTTGGATCTGGTAATGTACAGGTGGATTTTATACGACGATTATATCTCAGTGCCCTTGGGATGGATCCAACCCCTCCAGCACCAGCCAAACCAGCTTATCAGAAAGGATTTGTGAAATCGTCTACGTTTGGATGGATCAACCTATTGTTTCTCACGCAAATCAGCTTATGGATGTATACCAACCCTGCATTACAGAGCACCTTACTACAGCAATTGAAGACAGCTAGGGATATGGCTATGGATGCTGTGCGCTCAGAAGATGCTAAACTTCTCATCTTTAAGTATTGCAAGAACCAGATAAATGCTTGATTTTCTTTTTACATTGATAGCTTCTACTACTTTTTATAAAGTTGTTCCATAGGCCTCATCTAGTAGCTCACGACACATTAAATAGTCATTCTTTTTTCTTTGGGAGGGAGCAATAAAGGGTGGTCCTCTGCTACATAGTAGACTATTAAGTTCTTGGAAAGACATTTGGTAGCAATCCTCATAACACATTTACTTGTATGCATCTTATTTATTTATACTGGCTCAGCCGAGCTAACCCCATATGTCATAACGTAAGGATGTTGCTCTTGAGGATCTCTTCATCAGCAAAGCAAAAGTAACTATTTTCATATACTATCCATCGGCTGCAGTTTTTCTCCTTGAGAATGAAAAAGTGCACGTTGTAAAGATATACTCGGCCCTGTGATTGATTAAGCCATCTTGGCCTAAGCAATCACCGGGGTTTGAAAGGGGAGATAGGGATATGGATGACGATCCTTTTGCCAAGCCCTGTGAAACATTGCGGGTCGATCGCTTTTTTTTAGGTTCCACGGACAAACCAATTGGTCATTGTTTCCTTTTTCTTTCACCCATACCACCACCACTACCACTACCACTACCATGCCATTAACACCACCCTTCAAAGGAGCAGGGAAACTACGCAACCGATTACTTACTTTGGGCGTGGTGCTTTATCTGGTGCTCATGTATGCTGTATTGCATTCGATGGGTCATGATAAAAGTGCTTCGCCTTTGGACGACGTGTCTTTTTCAGACGTACACGCTGACAGCAACACCATCACCCATACTCAACCTACAGCAGAAACAATAAATAATGACGATGAATCTCATTACGATGACACAATCAACACGCCTATAGTAACGACAACGGCAGCTGTTGCTGAGCAAACCCCTGCCACTCATAACGACGACGACGACGATAATGATCATGATAATGAAAGCAGCAAAACGTGTGACACTCAAGTCAACCGTAACGTGGATCCAAACCATACAAGAGCACATCTCAACTTTTGGCAAAGCCTCGATAGCGCAAGTATCGAACAATATCGTAACGCATGGAAGCAATTTATGGCTACCGACAATGAAGCCAACACCGACTCTGACGAATACCACTTTCATGGACGTGGTATTGTGCTTGTGGCAGGGAATCGTGACACCTTTGACCGAGCCCTGACAGCAATCAAGTTACTGCGATTCCATTTATCATGCAACTTGCCGGTGGAGATATGGCATTTACCTGATGAACATCCATCCAATGAAATAAAGAAACAACTTGAGGAGTATGGTGCCACACCTCGCGATTTGGCTGACAGCACATTACCAAGGCCAATGGGTGAGCGTACCAATGCCGAGAAACAGTAAGTATAGCAAGGAAATCGTTAATACAATACCATTCATCATCATACCTTTGTATATATAGATTTCAAATCAAGGCAGCTGCCATCATCAATTCACGTTTCCAAGAAGTCTTGTATATGGATTCGGATAACTCGCCCACTATCAACCCTGCTTTTCTTTTTGACACCAAGGGCTATAAGAATACGGGTGCATTGTTTTGGCCTGATTTCTGGTATGTGACTTGAGGATGATCCATTTTGCTCATGTACTTAACATGTGTGGTAATAGGAAAACGCATACAGACAATAGCATCTTTGATATTCTACAAGTGTCTTGTAAGGATGAATGGGAGCAAGAGGTATGGAAATGAAAGGGTCATCTATGCTATAATGTGTGCTGATGAAAATGGCAACATGTAGTCTGGACAAATGGTTATTGACAAGAAGCGTGCATGGCGCCCATTGCAGCTGGCCTGGTACATGCAAAAGAATCACGACTTGTATTTCCAATTCCTGAATGGCGACAAGGATACATTTAAATTTGCATGGAAGGTACGTAAAAGTGAATTGGCAACAGCAGAGATGACATAAGGGTACGTATCTAAACATGTGATGTATAGGCATTGCATGCACCGTATCACATGGTACAAGTATTTCTAGGCATGGGAGGCTCGACAGTGGAAGGACGTTTTTGTGGACACACCATGTTGCAGTATACGGATGACATTTATTCCGAAGACAAGCCCATCTTTGTGCATGCCAATTTGATGAAGATTACAGACAAGAACCATTTCATGCAAGGCGATCCACCATCAGAGAGGCCATGGCAAGAAATTAAGCGATACACCAATAGCCGTGGCAACACATGGCTGAGTCCGGTCTTTTATATTGCACCAGGTGGTAGAGCATGCATGGATTTCACTCAGTTTCAAAATGAGCCAGAGATCAGTTTGACCAACTTTGACGATATCTTGGCTGGTTTCCAAGACAAGTACTTTGAATTAGGAGGGATTGGTGGCGAGACCCGAGGATAAATGTAAATTATATCATATAGCAGTAGTATCAGCAGCCTGCTAAATACCAACAACAATGTACATATATATGTTTCATGAAAAGGCACTTTTTTATTCCATCTTTTCCCCTTTTTGAATATGTGTTGTATGGTGACAAGTGAACAAGTTGTCGTTAGGAAAAGTAATAGGGTCCTATGTGTACAGGGTGATCATCAATGGAGGTGGTGTGTCTATTATATATGCGGCGGACTCTAAAACCATCATCACACAGCTGTCGTCTCTCTCTCTTTACACTCACTCACACACTCTTTCACTCAAACTCGCTTTCTCTACCCATACCTCTTATCAGCATACTACAAATATTCCCCCCATGCCTGAACATGACAACAGTGCTCCATCACCGGCAACAATGACGACATTGGATAAGCAAGAAACGAATGAACGACTCGTAGGCGACTATGTCCTATTGTCAAAGATCGGCCAAGGTTCCTTCGCAACAGTGTACAAAGCACAGCATAAGGCAAGTCTCCGCCCCTCATTGATAACCACCCACCCATTGCGAGAGAGACCTGTCTCAATGCGTATGCATTAAGCAGCTGAACAGTGCACAACAAGAAGGAAAGAGACGATACTAATAATGACTATAATAGATAACGGGACAAGTCGTGGCAATCAAAGCAGTGCTGCGTAACAAGTTGACCAAGAAGCTTCAAGTGAACCTCGAGTCCGAGATAAACATTCTCAAGACGGTGCATCATCCTCATATTGTTGGATTGATTGAATGCCAGGTATGTGTATAGAAATGAATGAATAGGGTTCTTTATTAATACAAGAACAACAACAATGAGCAGAAGACGGAAGGCCATATCTATCTTGTTATGGAATATTGTTCTATGGGTGATCTTGCACAATACATCAAGAGGAAACGACCGAGTAAAGGAACGAGAGGAGGTCTTTCTGAACACTTTGTTCGTCATTTTCTCAAGCAGCTAGGTAAGTTGTTGTGGCCAACTGATTCATCATGCATGCGGACTAATCAATGCTGAATTCAGCTGACGCCCTTAAATTCCTCCGCTCCCATAATCTTGTTCATCGTGACATTAAACCTCAGGTAAGCCAACCGCCCAAATCATCCCTTTTCACCTTATCACTCACACATACATGTATTCAAGAACCTTTTGTTGATACCACCCAATGATCAAGATGATGTCCCATTACTCAAGGTGGCTGACTTTGGCTTTGCTCGTAATCTACCCAATGCAAGTCTGGCCGATACCATGTGTGGATCACCGTTATATATGGGTCCTGAGATCTTATCAGGTCTGAAATATGATGCGAAGGCGGATTTATGGAGCGTTGGTGCTGTTTTATATGAAGTTGTCACTGGGAGACCACCTTTCAGAGCACAAAACCACATCGAGTTATTGAAAAAAATCAATGAGAATGAGGATCGTATTCGCTTTCCAGATGAAAAGGCGGATGCTGCTGTTGCACCGATTGGCAATGATATCAAGGATTTGATCCGAAAGCTACTCAAGAAGAATCCTGTTGAACGTATTTCATTTGAAGAGTTTTTTATGCATCCAGCCATCACCAACAGCCCTCCATCACCATCATCACCATCACCTCCTCCACCACCAAGACCTTCTTCTTCATCCTCTCGCAGCACTACAACTACTACTCGTCATCGACGCATGTCACATGATATTCCACGTTCACCGATACACCATGACATGTCATATGAACCACCACCATTTGCTCAATCTCCTCCTCAACAACCACCTACACCGCCTACAACAATGACCCATGCAACTCCACCTCATTCACGGCCTTCTTACACTGATTGGAAAAGACATACACCTTCTGATCAACAACGACCCCACTTGTCAAGGACACGTCATGATGATCGTTTATCAACAACACCACGATCTGATCAACATACAACACATACATGGATGGATGATACACAACAACGACGCAATCAGCCTGCACGAGCGGATGAGGATGTATTAAACGATTATGTTGTATTGGATCGACGTATCATTGAGACCAACCAATTTGCAGATGGTAAGTTATGAACATTGGGCTACGGTATCCAAGGTGTTTACATGTAATCATTATTCTAGAACTTGGCGCATCACCACGAACCGAATCGCATGGCAACAACAATAATACCTTGGCAACACAGCAACAACGTCATATTCCTATTCCACGAAGAACATCCACTGAGCAACCTTTACCATCACCCTCATCAACAGGCTCAACGCCACCGTATGCTGTGACGCGAGAACGCAAAGTAAGTAGTGGTTCGGCAGGCTCGGCATTAGCAAGAGCGCTTTCAATGGCGTCCATGGCCTCTGTGCGTTTGTTTGGCGCAGGCAATTCACCACCCAAGCTCAGCCGATTACATCAACACACCATGAGTGGCTCACCACGTGGATTCCTTACCATGGATGGCAATCAAGGCGTTATGGATGCACAAGAACGACAAACAATGAAGACGATTGAAAGAGCAGCATGCATGGCCCATGCAGTGGCATGTTTTGCGGATGGCAAATACGATCAATTGGTGCAAGGACGGTTATCATCAAACGAAGCGCTTGTTGCAGAAGAAGCTATGGTCTTATACATCAAGTCCTTATCACTCTTGGAATTGGGCATGAATACAGCTCGTCATTATTGGAATCAACTCTTGGATGATACCACTCGTATCGCTTCAGTACGACTCAATGATGCTGTTCAATGGATGCGAGAACGTTTCAACGAATGTCTTGACAGGGCGTCCTTTGCTGGCAGCAAATGCCATGGTGATTCACAAATAACAGCAGGTGCATGTGTTGAAAAGCTTCTTTATGATCGAGCCTTGGAAATGGTAAGGGAAAGGTGAAAAATAGAGGGACAAGCATGTTACTAATCATATGCGGTGATCGTTTATAGAGTCGAGCAGCTGCAGTATACGAGTTGGTCGGTGAAAACATTCCTGGATGTGAGCACGATTACCAAACTGCTATTTGGATGCTGGAGGCCATATTGGAAGTAACACCGGATGATGACACCCAAATTGAAGATGATGACCGCCGTATCATCAACAAGTGTACGTACCCCTTTCTTTTTTGTTCTATTATTGGACATCTTTCCTTACGGTCATAACCTTCGTAGTTATCGATTCCATCCGAAGCAGGATAACTGTATTACGTAAAAAGAAGGATCTCGAACGGGCCAAAGCATTGGACAGTGGCATGCACCAATATGATCAATATCAGTAGTATAACATCATTTGACATTACTTTCTTGACACACACACACACACACACACACACACACACACACACACACACACGAATACCACGAGTACACAATCATTCTTGAATTATGTATGTAAAGCGATTCTCATTTAAACTTGTGCTGGACTTTTTGCCGAAACATGGATGCTTTTAGCGGAAGAGTTCACGAGGATGGGGGATTTTTAAGGGGGAGGTGGTACATACATACTTGACATGCTTGAGGGATGACCAATCTTATTGGAAAGGATGTGTGGTTGCAGGATGTGTATGTATGTATGCGGCCATTCCTAACAAAGCGCTGGCTGTCAATATGTACCTGCTGGCTACTAAGCTCTTTGATGGAAAAAGTAATTGGGAAGAAGCGAATCGTCTAACGTTACGATGTTGACCAATAATGCAAAATAATATGTGTGGCAGTGTCACTGCTAGTTGTTGTGGCTCGTTGTACATGTGGCTGCCATATTGACACCGTTTGTATATTAGCATGACACTTGTACAACACAATGATCTTCGCACTATGCAAGTGAAAATGGAAAGGAAACCAGAGAACATTCAGCTATAGAATCAACTGGACTACAATGCATGTGCATAAGAAGGAAAGGTACTAGAATGTAGAAGACCCTGTAATGGACCCTGCAAATCATGCAACAATGACACCATCATTCCTTCTTGCCAACCCATGTTAAGCACCTGGGCTTTTACCTTTGTGCACAACAATCCTTTTCAACTCAACCACGTACTATTGCAGTTGAAGTTCCACAACACCTTTAAGATGCATTGACCGCTAAAATTCCTTGACACGCTTCAGTCATACTACAGCCCTTTCGCATGATCTTTCCTATTGTATAGCTTAAATCCGTAAATCAAATGGATAGCCGTGAAAAGAGTCATTCTGTACATACGGCGTCTCTTGCATCTTAAATGCGTCAAGAGGCTGGTACGTGATTGACTCGGCATAATGCCATATGTTCACACCACCATAACAACAAGTGTCTACCGGCCAAAATGGTACTGTATTTAAACAGCTTGAATGATTGATTCAAGATCCCACCATCATCATCACCACCATTATCATTAACAAAAACACAATGCAATATCAATCTTTGATTTTCGTTACTCTTGTTGCAATCGCTGCTATCGGTAAGCATGTACAATAATACGAGAATTTCATTGTCCTCATTATCTATTGGTATACTTTATAGCTTTTGCCGCCCCTAGTGACCCACACCTTCATTGTGCCTCCAACATTGCTGACATTGGTCCCGATATGGACCATCTACGCATCGACATTTCACGCTGGGAACCTCATGATAACTATGATGGATTTCAAAAAGTCCAAGAACTTGAGCAAGAGGTCGAGCAGCGTATCCAAGAAGCAAGAGAGAATTGCGATTTTCGAGGAGAGAAAGCATCCGTCCTTTTAAGCGGCCCCATCATGACTTCCTATCATTCCCTAGTTCCCATTATTGAAAACTTGATGGATACTGTAGTCCAAAAGAAGCCTGAATTTGATTCCGTGCCAAAGCTTACCCCTGTGGTGACGAAGGACATCCACGACATGTTCCTCAAGACCTACTATTTGGAGCAAGAGCTACTCGCAGCTACACCTGATAAAGATAAAGACCGAGCCCAAGACTATTACAACCGTGTTGATCATGCCTTTTCGTCAGCTTACCACGCCTATGGTCTTTTTCAAGCCGCCTAGGTCAAGATACTATTCAATCATTCACCCCTTTCTTTTTCTCTTTCTGTGAAAGACTCAAGATCAATCAGTGCACCCTCGTCGTATCATGAAATAAAGCCTAATCGGTTTGGCAAAACATTGGATGGATAATCTCAAGCATTGTGTAAAGGAATTCAAAGCAATGTCGTACAAGCAGCACTTTAATGGGATGGCAAGGGAAAAGGGCATCTTTCAATGCCAATGTTTCTTGTAAAGTCTGCATGATGAAGTGTGTGAGGGAAATCCTTTTGCAAGCACAGGCAGCATTAAGCTGTGGTGTAGATAAATATGCATGCAGTAACATCTACCACTGCATTGCATGGACGGTAATAAAATCGCCATGCTATCATGCTGTCACCTTAATCGTCTATGGCATTATTGCAGCCAACAAAGTTACAGGTAGGTGGACGCCCATTACCAATCAATGATAGTTCTTTTCTTTTTCATTTGCATAAAGGCGATAGTAGTGGGGGAGACCCCAGCACGGCGTGGCCAATCAAAACCGCCAGTTGAATAATCAAAGCCGTTTATCATTTTGCCGGGACCACTTGTCACTCACACAAACACAACACACACACACGCACACATGAATTTAGCACACTCGCTTCGAGGCATTGCACAACGAGGTGGCATGCTATGCATGCAGCATTCGACAAGAAACATTCGATGCTTATCGACGACCACGTTGTTACGTACGCGCAAGAGTGAAGATCCTTATCCAGACCTCGGCATTCGACATGCACCTCAAATGGAGCTTGAGACGCCATACCCCAACCTTCCTCCCATTCCACGACCCAACGAAAGTATCGACAAGAAGCGTGCACGTTTGAGATATCAATCACGTAAACGTGGTATCCTGGAGACCGATTTGTTATTATCCACCTTTGCAACCGAGCACTTGGAAGGTTTTACAATGGAGCAGCTTGAACAATATGACAAGTTACTTGATGAACCTGATTGGGATATTTTCTACTATGCAACCGACAAAAAAACCATCCCAGACCGTCTCCAAGACAACCAAGTATTGAAAATGATTCGAGAACACGCCAAGAATGAAAGCAGGATCATCCTAAGAATGCCAGATTTAGAGGCTTCCAAGGGCAGCAGCAAAAACACATCAGAATGAGTCATCCACTCTTTTGGTACAGATACACACCAGCATGTATGTAGATGAATACAATCGTTTTCTTTTTGTATTTGAATGAATGATGGTAAATGTCCTTGTATGGTTTGAATCAATATATCCATTCTTGGTTTATCATGTATCCATGGTGATTGGAGAACAAAAAGTGGTGGTGACTGGAAAAGGGTTGCATGCGTTGTGTGTAACAAAGCGGGGGACGAGGAGGAGGTGGAGGTTTTGAATGACTGATAACAACCAGCGAGAGAGATCATCTCGAATAATTTTGGTTTCTTTTTTCCTCTTTTTCTCTTCCCTCACTCGATCGCACGTTTCAAAATGGCATCTCAAGATCAACCCGTGATTGCGTTTATTGGTGCTGGCAATATGGCCGAAGCTATCCTAGGTGGTTTATACGCCAAGCGAGCTACTTCACAACTGGGTTGTTTACGTTTCTCGGAACCTGTCAAGGAGCGTTGCGAATACATGTGCAACAAATTCCCCAAAGCTGTCAGCTATGGCTCTGACAATAATGCATGCATTGAAGGTGCTGATGTTGTGGTGCTTGCTGTCAAACCCCAGGTGATGCGTAAAGTGGTTCAAGCACTCCAAGTACAAGATCCCAATATTCTCATCATTTCCATTGCCGCTGGTATCCGCACCTCTGATATCCAACGATGGATCAATAGCAAGAACGCCTCCACCGCCGTTGTTCGATGCATGCCAAACACCCCTGCTCTTATTGGCGAAGGTGCTGCAGGCCTTTATGCAACCGATGCCGTGAGCGATTCACAACGCGCTACTGCCGAAGCGATCCTAAAGTCGATTGGAAAGGAAGTGGTTTGGGTTGAGGAGGAAAAACATATCGACACGGTCACTGGTATCAGCGGTAGTGGACCCGCTTACTTTTTCTTATTCATGGAAGCGATGAGTAAGTCATTGGAAGAATATCACTACACGTGATCACATTATTGATTCATTCTTCTTTTCATCATCTCAATAGAGGCAGCTGGTGTCGAATCTGGTTTATCTCCCGAGGTAGCAGAAGCCCTTGTGATGCAAACATGTGTGGGTGCAGGACGTATGGCACAATTATCCGATGATGATTTGGCTACCCTGAGACAAAAAGTTACATCTCCCAATGGTACTACTGAAGCTGCATTGAAGACTATGGAAGCTGGTAATATTCGTCAAATCATTCGCGATGGTGTGATGGCTGCTGAAAACCGTGGACATGAGCTTGCAAACGAAATGGGATCCGATGACTAAGCCATCATCCAATTCATCACATAATATCGCATAGACATCAACATACTTCATCCCTTGCCATCATATTACTACATGTATATGTATCATAGAAGCTTCGTTGATATTATATCAAATACACCATCACTTAATGCATTTGCTTCATGAATCATAATGAATGGGTCTATGTGCTCTTCGTTGAAGACGTACTTCCATGGCATTTACTTGTTTCTAAACAAGCAATCTTTATAAAAGAGCTCAAGTTAGCAGGGTCGATTGGTCTTTTTTACGGATAAACGTAACCCCTGTTGCCTGGGAAACCTGTAGCACCTCTAGTGCACGTTGCTACTGTATCCATGCATGACCAAATCAAGCATAGTGCGTATCATTTGATTGTTGTCATTGTCATCCAATCGAGGAAAGGGGTTGGAGTAATGGTCTTTATTGAACGAATCAGGATTGAGAAATGACATAATTAATGGATGGCTAGTCTACAGTAGTGAGAATCCAAAAAAGGACGCTGTAAAGCGTGGCCGAAAGAGACCACCAGCATTGGAGTTCCTGAAATTACCAGAAAGATACACCCTCTTAATCCCGACCGTTCCCGGCTTTTACTCCTCATTTTTTTGTATGTCTTCCCATATTACAAACTCTGACCTTTCACCCGTGGAGACGGCTCTCTGTGGTGGTCTAGCAGGCATGATTGCTAGGTAACGATGAACTACAAACGGGGTCTTCTGATGGCGTTTATTGAGTTGAATGGCAATCTAGGTTTGCTGTCAGCCCCATTGACGTGGTGAAAATTCGTCTTCAAGTGGAATCGGTGCCACGATCTGGATTCTCGCAAGTTGCTACGGCCAAAGACGCAAAGTACCAAGGTGTTATCCAATCCTTTAGATTGATTGCAGCTGAGGAAGGGGTCAAGGTATAATGAAAACTGGTTGGAGTAGGGGGGAGGATGGTTTCAAACAATGAATGCTTATCAATGCATCCGGTTACTGCTGCAGGGTTTCTTCAAGGGCAACATGTCAGCCGTTTATTTGTACATGACATATGGCGTATCACAGCTATTCGCATATCATCATCTGGACAACCTTATGAACGATACGGTAGGTGTTGGTTGGCAATTTTCCCCCTGAAAGGAATGTATTGATATCTTTGTCTTAGCCTCTCTCGTCATCGCCTCGAGCATTTGTTTGCGGTATGCTAGCGGGAAGTTTTGCTACCACTGCCACCTATCCATTTGACTTGTTACGTACAAGGTTTGCTATTCAAGGGGATACCAAGGTAAAAAGTGGTAAATGGATGGGGTGATGGATACGAGCGATTGACAAGTGAAGCATGTAGATTTATACAAGCGTGGGATATGCTATTGGTGACATCTACAAGAATGAAGGTGTTCGTGGATTCTACCGTGGACTTTGGCCATCACTCACCCAAATCATGCCATACATGGGATTGATGTTTCTCAGCTATGATCTTTTATGCACGTCCTTTGAATGGTTACGGGTATGTTTGTTTCTCTTTTCTTTGTGTGTGCGTGGTATCACGCATTATGATTGACACATACGTCGTGTTTATAGGATGAAGGTTATATTAGCTCCAACAACAAGCTCTCGCATACAGCAGTGGCAGGATCAATAGCAGGTGCTTTGAGTAAAACGGGTGTATATCCCTTGGATGTGATAAGGAAGCGATTACAAGTGCAAGGACCCCATCGAAACGGTTACATCATTTCATCCATTCCACAATATGCAAAGACATCGATCTTCTCTTGTATGAGCACGGTTGTCAAAACAGAAGGCGTGGGGGCTTTATACAAAGGATTGATCCCGGGCTTGTTGAAAGCAGCACCAGCAAGTGCAGCCTACTTTTTGGTCTTTGAATTTAGCAAAGGTGTTCTCATCAAGTTGAAAACGAGCCATGTCACTGATATAGCACCCTCCTCCACCAACCCAAAGATAATTGCATAGATTAGAAGATTCCCCCACCCCCACCTTCATTCATCATCATCATCATCTTACATTAGAATCATTCAACAACATCTTCATTTACATCTCATCGATCTTTTACTTGTATACCAACCACTAATCAAATAAATCCGGCATCTGCATTATCATTATATCCTAATAGCAACTCGGCTCCAAGGTAATTTAAAACACAGAGCGTGTGTAGCAGGAACTTTATGGTGGTGCATGCGGAGCAGTTTTCCTGCTGAAACGATCGTCCATGAGCACATTCAACTATGTAGCATCGGCTCAAGCTCCTACTGCAGTCAATGCAGCTGTCAAGGGCAACTTTATCGTCAAAGATAGAATCGACTTGATCGTCAGGTATGTTCACTTCCCCCTCCATGGCTTGGTTGAGAAAAAGTTGTCTAACGTAGCGATTCTAGCAAGGAGACTTTTGTCGAAGTATACAACATTGAGAACGATTTATTGTCATTGGTCTATCAATTCAACTTGTACGGAAGGATCGAGGCGTTGGAGACTTGTCAAATGCAGGTAAACTTGTCAAGCTATGGATACAAAGCAGGGATCACGTGCTAACGTTATGGCGTGTGTGTGTGTGTGTTCAGGGTCGCGATACGTGCTCGTTGTTCATCTTTACAGACCAAGGCCGCTATTGTATCCTAAGTTACGACCCGATCCAGTCAACCATCATCACCGAACAACATGGTCATCCAGGTCATCATCCTGCTCGATTGGCTGATGATATCTTTGTGAGAACGATCGGCCGAGAGCGCAATCTTGTGGTAGCAAGTATTTATTCGGGTTTATTACATGTCTTTCCTATCGCTCCTACTCCTTCCGGCAAAGGCAAAGCAAAAGCCGTGAATACCTTACGTCCAGAGCCCTTTGCAATCAGGTATGTATAGATACAATGACGAAAAAAAAGTAGCATTGGCTGATGATGATGATGATGATCATTCCTCATGTATGTTAAGGATCGACGAATTTTTGATTTTATCCTTGGTTGCTCTCGACAATGAACCCGAACCGACCATTGCCGTCCTATACGCCAACGAGAGAAAACGACGTTTCATCAAGACATATCAACTCAACCTGAAAATCAAATCGATCAATGAGCAAGCATTGGGATATACATCCAATGCACGTGACAGCGATTATCTGCTCCTTCCCATGCCAGCTCCTTACTTTGGCTTTTGCGTCATCAGCGATAGTATCATCACTTGCCACGACAAGAGAGCACCGCAAAACTCAAAATCTACGAGTATCAATTTCACCATCATGACAGCGTATGTATTGTTAGAGTGGTCTCCATGGTTACATTTTCCCTCCCACTCACTCACTCACATGGATACGTATTTTAGACATAGCGAGTTTACCATGGGCGAGGAGGAAAACAGTATACAATGCTTCCTGAGTGATACGTCACGTGTTTTGTATGTTTTACGTATATGGTTCAACACAAATGGCACGGCTGTTCGCATTGCATTGGAGTCCCTTGGCATGGTAAAAAAAAGATGCCCCCTATTTTTTTCGCAATTTGATCTCATCCATCTATGTAGGCGGTGAGAGCATCAGCTATTGTGCCGTTACCGAATGATCGTCTGTTCCTTGGCTCCGCACAAGCAGATTCAACCTTGATCAAGTTGGACAGCAAGCCGATCACCGTGTTGGATGAACTCTTAAGCTTGGCACCGATTGTGGATTTTTGTTTGTTTGACTTGGACAAGCAAGGAAGAGTAAGTGATGATGGTGGTCGATTTCATTGCTATCAACAACACAACCTGACAAAGGTGGTTATATAGCAAACAATGGTGTGTTGTTCAGGAGCAGACAATAATGGATCCCTACGCATGGTTCAAGATGGTGTTGGATTTTTACCAAAAACGGAGCTTTTGATGCCAGGGATCAAGGGTGTTTGGACGTTAAAGCAAAAAGGGGATTCAAGGTAAGATGCATACATACATACGTAGTAGGCACTTTGGGCTTGCTCACTCATCTCCTACCCTCTATAGCATTGATAATACGATGGTGATTTCCACTGTGCATGGTACGCGTATCCTTTACATTGAGCCTGGGACGGATATTGTGGAGGAATTATCAGAGTTCTCAGCACTTAAGATGGAGGAGTCAACCTTGGCGATTGATCAAGTCGACAACATCATCATTCACGTGACGCCATCAGGTGTGAGATTGGTGGAAAATGAGCCAAAGGGTGCGTTATTGGATGAATGGCGACCAGCTCCAGATCAAGTCATCACGGTGGCTGCTGTGAATCGAATGCAATGTGTCCTTTCTTCTGGGCGTGGTGAATTGCTATACATTGAGGTCAAAAATAATCGCTTGGTATATGATGAGTAAGTTTTATTTGGATATTTGATGTCACCTATGGTACTAAAAAGTGACCTATTACATAGGTCAAAGGTGCTGGATCATGAAATCTCATGCTTGGATATAAGTCATTTTGAGAAAAGCTACGTGGCTGTTGGTCTATGGGGTGGACAACATGTACAAGTGCTTCGGTTACCCGATCTATCCAAAGTTGCCCAAGACACGTTCACTGAGACCCTGGTGCCTCGTTCAGTCGTCCTTGCCGAACTCGAACATGTACAATATTTGCTGCTGACTCTGGGTAAGTTGTGTTAAAGAGGATTTGTGTACGTCGGTGATCACTGACACTATTTAAAAAGGTGATGGCCAGCTGGTGTATTATCGTCTTGGAAAGAAAGGTCTCGTTGACAGAAAGCAGCTTACATTGGGCACCCACAGTGTTTTCCTCCACAAGCTGATGCACAATGGTCGCCCTTGCATATTTGCGGCATCGGATCGACCTACCATGATCACCAGTGAGAACAACAGACTTACTTTTTCGGGCGTAAATTTGCAGGTATGCTGATTTGGTACAAGTATTGTTACCTTGGAATGATATCAACAAGTGCCGATGTATAGGAGATTCGAGGCTGCAAGGAATTTAATAATCCGATCCATCAAGGTGTCATTGTCGCTACCGACAAAAGTCTTGTTTTTGGTCGTATCAACCCTGTACGAAAGCTGCATATCACAAAGGTGCCCCTTGAGAATGAGACAGCTCGCCGAGTGCTATACCATGAGGAGACAAAGACCATTGCTGTTGGAACATCCACTGTCAAGCGTAACATTGATGATGGCTCTGAATCATATACAGGGTGGTTACGGATATTCGACGCTCGTACGCTTCAAGGTAAGCATCCTGAATTAGTGACTTTTTATGCTATATGGCTCACGAATTGGGGATAGAGTTGAGCGCTTATAATCTTCTTCAACACGAAGTGGTGGAAAGCATGTGCTCTATATACATGGCAGAACTTGAATCGGAGGTGGTCTTTGTTGGAACAGCCATTGTCAGTGAGCAGGATAAGGATCAGCTTCCAGGACGTGTACTTGCTTTTCAAGTGATGCCCAATTACGAATACAAGCTATTGGATGCAGCGAATGTTGCTGGCGTAGTATACAGCATGAGGCCCTATCTTGGCTCTATCATCATGTCGGTGAATGGATCGGTAAGGACACATGGAATACACACGTTTCAGCCTCACAAGCTCATGACGCATCTTTTCAGCTGTACTTTTTAGAGAGTTTCAAACAAGATGAAGATAGTGGAAAGAAGCTTAGGCTGGCTCCAAAGCTTCATGCGAATATGATTGCTCTCAGCTTGGATACCCGTAACGACATACTCCTGGTTGGCGATATGATCCACTCCATGAGTATCATCAAGCCTGATGATTCTGCTGAACGACGACTGAAAAAGGTGGCGAGCGATTACAACCCGAATTACATGCAAACGGTCAAGATACTAAGAGAGGATCTCTATCTCGGTGCTGATTCCAGTTACAACTTTTTTATCCTTCGACAAATGTCCGAAGATGCAAGACGATTGGAAATTGTAGGAGAATATCATCTTGGCGAGCTTGTTAATTGCATTAAGCAAGGTAAGAAGCAATGTATGTATGTATGTGTTGGCATGGATGAAATAACATGTGTGTTCATTATAGGCTCTATATCACGGCAACCCTCTGATATTGGGGACACTGGCAGATTATTGTATGGTACGGTTGGAGGATCTATTGGAGCGATCACACCTTTGGAACAAGATCAATACGAATTCTTAGCGGTGGTGCAGCAGAACATTTTAAATATTCGACCCAGCATTGGCAACTTGGAGCATCGTGTTTGGAGAATGTTTCAAAATGGAATACGAAAGGCAGACTCGCACAACTTTATAGATGGCGATTTGATAGAAAGTTTTCTACAGCTATCTTACATGGAGAAGGAAATGGTAGTCAAAGGCAACAATGGAGGCAGTTTACTTCCCTGTGATGTGGACAAGCTACAAACTATTATCGAGGAGCTAGCAAATAGTCGATAGTTTTCAAGTATTACCCTCATTAAATGTCTATATGTGTATGTGTACGTGTGCATGTCGATGCATTCATTATAAGGGAGAAACAACAAATGGTGTGACACAAAAGAGGGAAAACTGGGACCTGGAACCATGTGATTCAATAGGTCAAGTGTGGCGTACCTAAACGCGTAAATTAAGTGGCTGGGTCTAAGTGAGCGCGAACCGTGATTTGACCGACCAATTCCCCTTTTCGTTCTTTTGACTTTGGTTGTCCTTTTACCTCTCACTTTCTTTGATAAAACTCAACAATGACCATCTCTGACGACGATTTCGAATCCGACAACGACTTTATCGAGTCCGATGCCGAGTCTGATTACGCTCCTGAAGAAGAGGAAGAAAGTCCACGTAAAAAGGTAGGTCTACATGGACACGATCCCCTTTTTACCTGCATAGATCACTCATCGCGTGTCATTCCATCAAACGATGTAGACCAAGACGACATCTGCCACTCCCAAGAAGGCTGCCAAGCCCAAAGCACCAGCAGCACCCAAAAAGACAGCAGCCAGCAGCAAAAGCAAAGCTAAAGGGATCGATGTGATGATGAAAGAGGCAGCAGCAAAGTCGAGAGGCACGGATGCAGATGGCGATATCACGATGAAAGAGGCCACTCCTTCTGATGAAAACAAGTCTCCAGCACCAACAGCATCAAAAGCATCATCCAAACCCAAAGGCGATTATGAGGAGCGTACGATTGAGGAGATTTACAAGAAAAAGACTCAGCTTGAACACATCTTGTTACGTCCTGACACCTACGTTGGATCCATCGAGCTTGAGGAGCAGGAGATGTGGGTCTATGATTCGGATGAAGATCTTATCAAGCGACGCAAGATCAAGTATGTCCCTGGCTTGTACAAGATTGTGGATGAAATCTTGGTCAATGCAGCTGATAACAAGGTAAATGATCACGTGATGCCTATATATGCATGAATCATGTTAACCTTTTTATCACATGTAGATTCGTGATCCTACAATGAACACCATCAAAGTCTTGATCGATCGAGAATCCAACTTGATTTCAGTGTACAACAATGGCCGTGGTATTCCTGTGACGATGCACAAGGAGGAGAACGTCTACGTACCCGAATTGATCTTTGGACACTTGTTGACATCTTCCAACTATGACGACAATCAAAAAAAGGTGACGGGTGGTCGCAACGGTTATGGTGCCAAGTTGTGCAACATTTTCAGCACCGAATTCATTGTTGAGACAGCCGACAAAGAGCGCGAGCTCAAGTATCGACAAACATTCAACGACAACATGTCAAAGAAGGGAAAGCCCAGAGTCACATCCAACAAGCGTGGTGAAGAATATACGCGCATTTCATTCAAACCAGACTTGGCAAAGTTCAAATTGACGGAGATGGATGAGGACTTTGAAGCATTGATCAAGAAGCGTGTGTATGACTTGGCAGGCTGTGTACAAGGCGTCTCGGTTTATCTCAATGGCACCAAAATTCCCATCAAATCATTCCCAAAGTATGCAGAATTGTACACCAAGGTCCTTGAAACCAAGCAAGCCGAGAACAAGAAATCCATTGTCCATGACACAGCCACAGAATCGGATCGTTGGCAAGTGAGCTTTTCCGTCAGCGATGGTCAATTCAATCAGGTAGAGTCAATGGAAATATTATGGTCGTGCACACAGCTCACTCTTCCCCCCTCTCTCTCTTGTAGATCAGCTTTGTCAACTCCATTTGTACTGCCAAGGGTGGTGTGCACGTCAATCATGTTGTGGATCAAATCGTCAAAGCTATCATGCCTGCGGTGCAAAAGGGATGTGGCAGCAAAAACATCAAGCCCTTCCAAGTCAAGAATCACATTTGCATCTTCATCAATTGTCTCATTGAGAATCCTTCTTTCGACTCGCAAACCAAGGAAAATATGACTCTCCGTGCAAGTTCCTTTGGCTCATCGTATAAACCAAGTGAAGCTTTCATCAAGAATGGTAAGGATCTCTCCTCCTTGTGTTTTGGATTTCATTCTCATATTATTATGCCTTAGTGACCAAGTCGGGTATCATTGACAATATCATCAAGTCATTCCGTACACGTGAAGAGGAGCAGATGGCTAAACAAGATCGAGGTCAAATGTCTCGGTAAGTTGAAAATGTTCCTATGCATATACGTTCAAATGATCTCATCTTCTTTGTATCTATCTAGTCGACTCAAGATCCCCAAGCTCGAAGACGCCAACCTTGCCGGCTTGAGACCCCACAATAAGAACTGTACACTCATCTTGACGGAAGGTGATTCGGCCAAGGCCCTTGTCCTCAGTGGTTTGTCGGTTGTTGGTCGTGATTTATATGGCGTATTCCCTCTTCGTGGTAAACTTCTCAATGTGCGTGATGCCAGCAACCAGCAAATCATGGGAAATGCAGAAATCAGCAACATCAAGCAAATCATTGGTTTGAAGCACGGCAAAACATACACCAGCGTGGATGAGCTTCGATATGGCAAGTTGATGATTATGACGGATCAGGTACAATGACAAGCATTATTTCAGGTTTGGGATGATTTTAACAACGGTATCATAGGATCACGATGGCTCTCACATCAAGGGTCTCATTATCAATTTCATTGATGAAATGTTCCCATCCCTCCTTGATATCCCTGGTTTCCTTTTGGAGTTCATCACACCCATTATCAAGGTAAAAAAAAAAGTGATATCATGGAACAAGCTTCTTGATGCTAACCTTTTATTTCCCCATTGTCAGTGTAAACACAAGCGCACCAAAGAAGAGATTCCTTTCTTTACGATCCCTGAATATGAGGCATGGGCTTTGGAGAACAATCGCAACAATGAATGGGAACCCAAGTACTTCAAGGTAAACCAACCATCCTATTCTTTATTTATTTGTTGCTTACGTTGGATGATAGGGTTTGGGTACTTCCGATCGATCAGACGCCCGCAAATACTTTTCAAACCTTGACTTGCACCGAAAGGAGTTCCAGACAGTGGATCAAGACGACCGAAAGTTGATCGAAATGGCATTCAGCAAAAAGAAGATCAGTGAGCGTAAGGATTGGTTGACTGGCTATTCGGTAAGCTATACATATCAGGGATCAATAATGCATACTTATATATCATTTTAGCCTGATATTTACATCGACCACAACGTCAACCGGATCAAAATCTCTGACTTTGTCAACCGAGAGCTTATGCTATTCAGTATGGCGGACAATATTCGATCCATTCCTTCCGTGGTGGATGGTTTGAAGCCTGGTCAACGCAAAGTTCTATTCGGCACCATGCGACGATCCAAGAATACCGAAGTCAAGGTAAAAATAGGGTGTACATACTTTCATTGTCCATAGGTGCTGATTCTTTTTGTAGGTCGCTCAATTGGCTAACCACGTGGCTGGTGTTACCAAATATCATCACGGTGAAGCAAGTGTCGCAGCTACCATTATTAACATGGCCCAGGATTTCGTTGGCAGCAACAACATCAACTTGCTTGTCCCCGCTGGTCAATTTGGTACTCGACATGAGGTAAGAGAGATCTTTTTCATGGCCCATGATATGATACATATTTATTCATGCCTACTACAATTCATAGGGTGGTAAAGCTGCTGCTAGTCCCCGTTATCTGTTCACGCGCCTATCAAAGATCACTCGACATATCTTCCACCCCGATGATGATGATATCCTTGATTACTTGATTGAAGAAAACAAGTCCATTGAACCCAACTGGTAAGTCGTTTTCATTGGTGGATCTTCAAAGTGGCTAACACAATATATCAAAGGTACGTGCCTGTTATCCCAATGGTGCTTGTCAATGGTGCAGATGGTATCGGAACAGGTAAAATGAGGACACACTTTTTGTTCTTGGTAGGATGGTACTCATGTTGTCATGTTTCATTGCAGGTTGGAGTACGAGCATTCCCAATTACAATCCCAAAGACATTGTGGATAATCTTCTTCGAATGATGGATGGCGAAGAGCCTCAGCCAATGAACCCATGGTTTAGAGGATTCAGGGTGGGTAGTTAGGTGCTTTCCATAGGCATTTATACATGTTGTCTCATGCAATCCTTTTTTAGGGAGCAATTGAACCAACAGCCATGGCAGGTCGATATTCATGCAATGGCATTGCCAACGTTCAAGAAGATAGCAGCATCAAGGTGACAGAATTACCAGTACGCTTGTGGACCGATACCTTTAGAGACAACCTCGAAACCATGCGTGATCCCAAGGAGGGTAAGAAGCCTGAAATCAACATCTTGGTAAGTGCCTGCTTGCATCATCAATGGCAATGTCATGAGTCTAACACCTTTTTTATAGGATTACAGCAACAACTCCACCGATTGTGCCATCGAATTCACTGTCCAAATTGATGAGACCAACTTGAACAAGGCTGAGGACATTGGTCTTCTCAAGGCGCTCAAGATCCAATCAACGATTGCCACCACCAACATTGTTTGCTTCGACAAGGATGGTCGTCTGAAACGTTATAGCGGCCCAGAAGATGTGATGCGTGAATTCTATCCTCTGCGTTTGGAATACTACTCGAAGCGTAAGGTAAGTAAGAATCCATGGTGGTGGGGGGGTTGATATTCTAGAATCAGATTCTCAATTGCATGTTGATATAGGATTACATGATTCGTGTTCTCGAGGACCAGTTTATGCGTTTGGATAACAAGGCACGATTCATGGAGCTGGTGATTGACAAGAAGTTGCATTACATCAATCGACCAGAGGAGGATGTCATTGCCGACTTTGAAAAGCATGGTCTCAAACGCATCTATCCTTTCAAGAAACGCAATGTATTGGCAACTGAGGACGATGATGAGGGAAGCCAACCCAGCGAACAACAACAAGGATCAGATGGTTATGATTATTTGTTCTCTATCAACGTTCGTGGCTTTACAATGAAGAAGGTAGGGTATAGCTGGTCATCACAATAGCTGGTATGGGCGATTTTTATTGACATGTCATGTATGTAGGTCGAAGAATTGAAGAGACAACGTGAGGAGAAATTGAAAGAAGTGGAAACTATCAAAGCAACCGACCCCAAGGACTTTTGGAGAAAGGATCTCAAGGTCATTCTTGAGCGTTGGGAGGTATGTGCTTAATACAAGTAGTGGTAGAAGGCTCTGTTTTTTTTCTTACGCTCTCTTTATAGGAAATTCTGGAAGAAGATGAACAAATCGCAAAGGCAGCCAAGCCATTAGCAAGTGCAACCACCCGCAAACGAAAGAGAGCACCTGCCAAGCCAAAGGCCAAGAAAGTAGCAGCTAAAACAGAAGATTAGCTTGTAGGCAAATTACGTTGTTAGAAGCAATAAATATATATAGCGAGCCGTTATGGCATTTGTAAGAACATCATTTACACTTTATTGCATATGTAACAATCTTATAAGGTACTTTGTAATTGATGCAAAGCTTTTTCAAAGAATGCCACAAACGAAGCAGGTTCCTGAGCCCCTGGAAAAGTGAACCTATTGTACACGGGGTAAGTGTCAATGGAATGATGATTGTACATACACACAAAACAAATGCCTGGACTTACTTGTGCTGGATCTTGTAATTGGGTACGCCTCCCATGCTGTTGATTCTATTTTCTTCCACTGCTGCACTCACACTATCAACATCTTGATCCGATTTCAGGTAGGACAATGCCTAATGTAAATGTTGTCAGTGGTGAAAATGCAACGCATGCATCCAATTTTTAAAGGTTACCTTGTTCTTATCGATGCCAGCACGTTCAGCTGCTGCTGCCAAAACAGATGCATCACCAATGTTCTGCTCGCGTTCAAAGTAATCCTTAAACAGCTCTTCAACGACTTGATTTTGGCATCCAAATTGTCTCGACCAGTGAATAAGGCGGTGTGAATCAAGCGTATTGGCCATGACACCACCATATGAAAAGGAGATGCCTTCTGGTTCCCCCACACTTTTGATATAAGGCACCATAGCATTGGCACGTTCTTCTCCAAACTTGCGGATATAATGCTCCATCTTTGGTTTCGGGTTTGTCTTTGACATGGTGGGTGAGAGTTGAAACGGGTGCCATTCCACATCAAAAGAGACATTGGGATGCGTCGATGTAAACTGGCTCATTGCTTTCTCAAGCCTTCGTTTCCCGATAAAGCACCTGGTAGGATAGCATAGTAGTCAATGAATAAACACTCTCTTTGTATGTACTTGCACAAAGGTGTGTGTGTGTGATCGATAGAGTTGAACATACCAAGGGCAAATCGTATCACTAATGACATCAATCTTGAGGACGATATTCTTTGTGGCAGCCATAGTTGTTAGGGAAAGGGAAAGAAAAAGTATGATTAGTGATGGTGGTAGTTCCCAAGAAAAAGGTTGTCAGAATGATTTGTCAGCAGACGGGGATTACGATTACAAGAGAGAATCTTTTATTTATGCAGCATGGGAGTGTTTTTTTATGTGCTGCAGACAAGTAAATGCGGATCTTTTTATACATGATATGTGTGTTATGTGTGTATAGGTGTGTATGAATGTGTGTGTGTGTGTGCGTATGTGCGTGTGCGCGTGTGTGATGTTGTTGTGTGGTAGACTATCTTATTATTACCATGCTTCAGTGCCATTGACTTGAACTTCTTCTCCACCAAGGTCAGCCTTAGTAACAACTTGACCAATTTCGTAAACTTGCTCGTTTGCCTCTTGCAACAATTGCTTGACTTGTTCGACGGCATTGCTGTTCACGACAAGGATCATACCAATACCACAGTTGAAAGTGCGTGCCATTTCATAGGCTGATAGGCCACCAGCTTGCTTGAGCCACTTGAAAATGGGTGGCAATTCCCAACCAGCAGCATTCAACTTGACAGCAAGATCCTTGGGCATCACACGTGGAATGTTGTCGATAAAGCCACCACCAGTGATATGGGCCATACCCTTGATAAGATCCTTGCGAATGGCAGGCAAAAGTTGCTTCACATAGATGCGAGTAGGGGTGAGCAAGGCTTCACCAAGCGTCTTTTCGTTATTCCAAGGGCAAGGCGATTGATAAGTCAAACCAGGTTGAGTGGAGACAATCTTGCGCACCAACGAGAAGCCGTTAGAGTGAACACCAGAAGAGCCGAGACCGAGCACGACATCGCCAGCTTGGATAGGCAAATCAGCGCGGGGAAGGATCTTTGTACGATCCACAGCACCCACAGCAAAACCGGCACCATCATAATCACCCAAAGCATAAAGACCAGGCATCTCGGCTGTTTCACCACCAATCAAGGCAGCACCAGCTTGACGGCAACCTTCAGCAACACCAGCCACGAAATCCTTGGCAACATCCACCTCCAATTTACCACAAGCATAATAATCAAGGAAGTAAAGGGGCTCGGCACCTTGGACAATCAAGTCATTGACATTCATGGCAACCAAGTCAATACCAACAGTGTCATGGATACGGCAATCTTGGGCAATCTTGAGCTTGGTACCAATACCATCCGTAGCGGAGACAAGAATAGGATCGACGAAGCCAGCAGCCTTGAGATCGAAAAGACCACCAAAACCACCAATATCAGAATCAGCACCAACACGACGAGTCGACTTGACCAATGGCTTGATCTTTTCCACCAACAAGTTACCAGCATCAATGTCAACACCAGCATCAGCATAAGACAAACCGGTTTCCTTTTCTTGTTGTTCGGTATACTTGAAGGCTCTATAAAAGTGAATAGGATCATGAGTCCATCATGCTTACTTCATAACGCTGATAATCCTACTTTACTTACCTATGAGCAATATCCTTTCTATACATCATGCCTTCGAAATGAATGGACTTGACACCTTCATATGCCTTATCAACGGCTTCGCGAAGAGTGGTACCAATAGCAGAGACAGCCAACACACGACCACCAGCAGTGACAAGCTTGCCATCCTTCAAAGCAGTACCAGCATGGAACACCATAACGTCCTTGGGGAGCTCACCAATAGTGATTTCCTTGCCCTTGGGATAGCTACCAGGATATCCTCCAGAAGCAATAATGACGGTGGCACCATAAGCCTGCTTGCTGGTGATAGTAACGGCATCCAATCGACCTTCAGCACAAGCCTAATACATGAAAAATGAATAAAATTGTTACCATGGAAACCAAGTAAATTACTTACAAGCATGATTTCAGCCAAATCAGAGTCATCACCCAACAAAGGAAGAGCAACTTCAGTTTCAGGATCACCGAAGCGGACATTGTACTCGAGTACTTTGGGACCGGAAGCCGTCAACATCAAACCGGTAAAGAGCATACCAACGAATGGATAGCCATCATGACGCATGCCGTCGATGGTGGGTTGAAGAATAGTGCGCTTGACAGTTTCCATAAGCTCGGGGGTGCTGATAGGAGTGGGAGCATAGACACCCATACCACCGGTGTTGGGACCTTCATCACCATCATAGGCGCGCTTATGATCTTGGAGAGGAGGAAGAGGAATGACTGTATAGCCATCGGAGAATGCAAGCACCGAAAGTTCTTGGCCCTCAAGATACTCTTCAATGACAACTTCGTTACCAGCGTCACCAAATTCCTTGTCATCCATGATAGACTTGAGACCAGCAAGCGATTCTTCCTTGGTAGTGGGAATCAACACACCCTTGCCAGCTGCCAAACCAGATGCCTTGAGCACCACACGATGATTGATCGATTCAAGATAAGCCTTGGCCTTTGCATAGTCCGTAAAGTTCTCGTAGGCAGCAGTAGGAATGTTGTGCTTCTTCATGAAATCCTTGGAAAAGGTCTTGGAGCCTTCCATCATGGCAGCCTTAGGAGATGGACCAAAGCAAGGAATACCAACTACTTGAAAGTGAGTCATCTATCTTACTTTTGGGGGGGATCATGTTTTATAGTAAAACTTACTCTTTTTAAAGACGGCTTGAATACCTTCCACGCTAGGTTGCTCTGGACCAGGGATCACCAAGTTGACCTATCCATAGGTTCTATATCAGTATGCATGTCCATGTGTGTATATGGGTCTTCTCATATAGACTTACATTGTGTTGAGCAGCAAACTCGGTGAGTTTGGCAAAGTCGCTGACACCGATCGCAACGTTGGTAACCTTGTCACCCATAGCAGTACCGCCATTGCCTGTCATTGGCGACATGATGTTTGCATATTGATACATGGAATGTCTTTTTCAGCTGTTACCTGGCGCAACATAGATATGCTCGACCTTGTTCGACTGAGCGAGACGCCAAGCGATAGCATGCTCACGGCCACCAGAACCGACAAGCAAGATAGTGAGCTTTTCTATAAGGCAAGGTATTGTGTTAGTATGAAAGCATGCCATGGGGTTGTTGTTGTTGTTGTTGAGTCGTCCTCATTACTCACCAGAAGCCATTAGGAAAACGTGGGGTTAGAGAAGGACACCGTGTCTCAAACCAACAAATCTGGGAGGCATTTGAAACCAATCTCGGTGGCTTCGCGTGCAAGATCTGCAAACATCTGTCAACGTGAGTACAATAATGCGTCACCCTTAGTTACACACAGCCTAAAGCTAAATGTTGCGATCGATCCATAATAGATAAGCAGGGTTCTTTGATAAGATCATGGATTGCATTACTTTTAGTAGGTATACAAGAACGCTATATACAATCTACATCATCATTCTTTCATTTGAACGTTGATCATAGTCACCTACATACGTAGGTCATCTTCTTGTATGCTCGATCGGTCCCACTCTACTATTGCATCATCATCAAACAATAAGCTATAAAGCGAATAAAAGCATTGATATGGGATTTTCTTGTTGATTCACATTGAGGACCAGAGATCTGGATGCGTGGTTGCTGATCAAAACAGCGATCATGCATACTTATGCAACTCATCGACGGCGCCACATATCATCACACAAGAGCTAGTAGCAGCAGCAGTATAATAGCTATTGAATTAAACAAAGCAAATCCCAAAGATGCATACCTATGCATGGTCATCATGTTATTGAATACAATGAGTAGTGTGATATCAATGAGGGGGTTTAAGGTATAGAATGGGATGACACACGCCATCTGCAATTAACAACAACATTCAGGTACATGGTGCAGATATGAAGATGTCAGATTGAGCAGTACAAGATGACGTGATATATGATGATGGCGAGCATAACAAGGAGGGGCGTGCATATTGAGCAGGCGACGCTTTTGGCGATAATCCGGTCAGCTGGACGCATGATAATTTGGTTACAACCATCACCACCACCATCATTCTCATTATCATCATCGCATCTGTTTGTCTCACCAAACATCTTGTACTCCTTTGTTGTCTTTCTCCTCTTTTTCCCTCTGTCTCTTTCTCTCTCTCTCTCTATCGCTATACGTCCTACACCTCATGTCACTTTTTGAACCCGAACAACCCACGTCATTGCAGCAACAGCAGCATGCACAACGTTCAATGGACCTGGTCAGTAGAGGACAACAACGACATCACCGCCACCCATCGCATGAGCATGCCAAGCACGATGCCATGAACAAAGATCGCCACCACCTCCACCCACCACCCTATCAGCACTATCGTTCTCTGCCACCACAACAAAAGAGTTCACAAACGGTTGTGTCTTGTATAGTCAACTTGGTGCTTTCAAAGTTATTGGACGCTTTACTATTTACTTCAGCACTTGCACTTGCAGCCTACAATTACTGGAAGGGCGATTTACATAAGCGAGAACGCATTGAAGCGTCTCCTGCAATGTATGATGACAAGGAACAACATCGTATTATGGATATCCGACAATGGCGACATACGCATCCACCACTGAGGCAGCAACAGCATCATCATCATCATCCAAGACAACAACGAGAAAGTTTAGAGGATTCAAAACGAAGACGTACAATGGAATGGGCTGAAAGTATGGCAAGACAACAAAGTCAGCATAGCAGGAGTAGCAGTAATTGCAGCAACAGCAACAGCAGCAGCAGCAGCAGTGGTACTTGTAATAGTCTAGGAAATGACAAACACGTGCGTATCTATCTATGCGTGAGAGACATGATGAATCTTATGCTAATAATTTCACACGCAGGATGGTGGTGGTGCCAAGAGACACATCGTGTTACCATCGCTTCAACTTCCTTCCGTTACTGTCACCGATGTCAATTCAACCCTTATTGGTGCACCCGCTGATACTAGTGTGAATGATAAAGAACCCCAGGAGGATGAAATGTTTACAAGAATGGAAGAACAACTCCAATCGCTTATTGAACAAGGACAAGCAGCATTGACAAGCAAGGCAAATGATTTGGAAGAGATGGATGATCAAGAATTGGCCATGAGGAAAGCGTTTGCAGCAGGAGGAGGAGGAGCATAGCGATTGTGGTAGCATAGCAACAGCAGCACCCATGAACCAACCAACTCGTTGGCATGATTTGACATCATAGTATACCCGCGGTCCATATCCCAAATGAAGCAATAAACGAAGAAAAGACGGATGTAGCTTATCGAGATATACAATGGATTTAGCATTACTTCTCACGGGTGTTTGAGGAATGGAGGAGAAAGGGAGTCACGAAGACCACCTATAAAATGGATGGCCGAAAAGCTGGCTCTGATCTTTGGTCCGCAAAAGTCGCATTTGTTGTTATTATTTTTATTCTCTCTTCACAATGAGTCAACTCGTTTCCAGACGCGTCAGCAATCAACTCCAACGATCCGCATTGCGATTATCCAAGCAACGCATTGCTTCCCCTGTTGCTGTCAATGTGGTGTCCTCTACACGTTCCTTGGCAACCGCACCTCGACCTGCTGCAGCTGCTAAGCGTGTTCCTTACAACTGGTTGTCAAACTCCAAGGCAAGTCCCCACCCCCTTTCTCTTTCTCTTTTCTATATCCTTTTTCATTTCTTTTTGATTAATCGATATACGTCAATAGATGTCGACCAGTGCTTCTGCTAGTGTAGCTACTGCTGGTGCCGAGGTAAGCTGTGTTGTGTTTATAGTGTTATCTTGTATATAGCCCCGCTCATCATCATTGTACTATTATCAATAGTCCGAAGTGCTTACTGTCAAGAATGTTGGTGTGCGTGAAATCATTCTCAACCGCCCCAAGAAATTCAATGCATTGAACCTCAACATGGTGGAAAGGATCACCCCTGAGATCCAGGTATATACATGCGACGAGGCCGATAATGCCGGTAAAAGTAGGAGGGATTTGTGCATTGACGATACTTTTTTTGGATATAGGCGTGGGAAAAGTCTGATCTAGCCAAAATCATCCTTCTCAAGAGCAGTGGCGGAAAAGCATTCTGTGCTGGCGGTGATGTGCAATGTAAGTTTTGGGAGCCCAACAAGGAGAGAGAGAGTGTGTGTGTATATGTGACACATAGATTCACATGGAGCGTGTGTACATTTATAGCTGTTGTCGATCTCGCCACCGAAGGAAAACTTAAGGAAGCTGCAGCCTTTTTTGAGAATGAATATCAACTTGATCATCTCATTGGTACCCTTGACACACCTTATGTCGCTATTATGGATGGCATCACAAGTATGTAGTAGTAGTAGTAGTAGGATGGTGATAGTGAGGAGGGGGCCCAGGTTTGGAATAGGCGTCTAACCTAATCTTGTGGGAACCGTACTTTATAGTGGGTGGAGGTGTTGGCTTGTCTGTGCATGCACCCTTCCGTATTGCTACCGAAAACACGCTCTTTGCCATGCCTGAAACTGGTATTGGTTTCCTTCCCGAAGTGGGTGGCAGCTTCTTTTTGTCTCGTCTTGATGGTGAACTTGGAACCTACCTTGGTTTGACCGGCAAACGCTTAAGCGCCGCTGATGCATTGTAAGTATTGTGTGTAAGCAATAGGGTGGGTGGGAGTCTAACATTAAAAATATAGCTATGCTGGTATCGCTACCCACTATGTACCCTCATCACGCATTGCTGCCCTTGAAGCTCGCCTTTCTGAAATTGAAAATCCCACACACGATGTGATCAACACTGCCATCGAAGAATTCTCTGCTGAAATGGATCAAGAACCTGGTTTCTCTTTGGGTGGTTCCATCCGTGAAGCTATCGATAGGTAACAACCATATCACCTTGATCCCCTATGGCTTTTATTAATAGCATTCTAGATGTTTCAAGTATGATACCATGGAGCAAATTGTTGAGGCCCTTGAAAAGGAAGGCTCTGAATGGTCCATTGAAACGCTCAAGGCTTTGAAGGCTGTATCACCCACATCGCTCAAGGTTACCTTGCAACAATTGCGTGCTGGTGCAAACCTTACTCTTGGTCAATGCTTCAAGATGGAATATCACCTTGTGCAAAAGTTCTTGGTAAAGTAAAAAGAGGGAAGAAGTATCCATACATGAGGCTAACAATGTATCAATAATAGCAAGGACATGATTTCCCTGAAGGTGTCAACTCGCAACTTAAGAAGCCCCGGAAAAAGGCATCTTGGCAACCATCCCAGTTGAGTGATGTCAAGTTGGATAAGATCAAGCAAGAATACTTCGACGCACCATCACCACAACATCTCCAATTGTTGACTCGTAAAGACTACAAGCGCTACCCCCACCGCAAGTACATGTTGCCTTCCGAAGATGATATCAAGCGTGTTGTTACCGGTGAAGCTGCTGATGTTGGACTTTATGCACTCAGCTTTGATGAGGTGGTACAATACTTTTTGCGTGAACGTAATGGCAAGCAAGGTGTTGCTGCCAAGGTGCTCGATGTTCTCACTCGCAAGACCGACTTTGTGGAAGATGGTGAAAGCACAAGCTTAAAGTGGCTTTATTAAGTACCTTCCCCCCACATGTATAGTTTTTCTTTCTTTCTTTTGTTATCATGCACATTATTCACAAAGCACAGCACACACACACACACCCTCACCACCACACATGACACACATTATTCACACATTTCAATCCACACAATACAAATACAAAAACATGTAAAATTATGCAATGGCTTTAGTGTCTTCGCTAATGATATGTTTGACCATGCCGAGAATGTCCGAATCTTTGAAACCAACGAGACGAGCAACACCAATCAAAGCACGCATGCTCTTTTCGAGGAACATCCGACCTGCTTCTTGACCATAGGATGATGCATGTGTGGGTGGGGTGGTTGGGGCTAATGGGAAAGCACCTGGCACGTGTTGTTGTTGTTGTTGTGAAAACTCGTCATTTTCGCGGGATCGGACTACTTTGGGCAAAGGATCCACTGTGGTAGTTGAAAGGGGAGGAGGAGGAGCATGTGTCGTTGCAGTAGTAGTTGTAGCAGCACCACCAGAAGAGGAGGAAGGTGGCAGGGATTCGTGTAACATTTGCGTTAATTCGTGCAGGGCCGATGTATGCATATCCATTAAATCAGGTACACTTGGCACAGTATAGAGCGGGTTGAATGATGTATCATATTCCTCCTGCATCTCTTGTCGCTCCGTATCAGCCAAACTTTGGAACACTTTGTAAGGTTGCAACGTGCGTCTTTCATCCCTTGTTTCTCCAACGGTCGTCGTCGTATCATCCGTAGGACCTGGTGTAAGGGTTCCAGGGTCTTGACTCCATCTCGCATAATACTCATCTTCTGAATCCTCTGAATCTTCCTCCTTGTCCTCCATGCTCGTGCTTGTTTTCTTTTCACCATCAACAACACGTCCTCCCCTTTTACCCTTGATCTCCAAGTCTTCATCATCATCTTCTTCATCATCGTTCTCATCAGATGACCATTGACCCCAATATCCATCTGGTGCCTCGTGTCCATTCGCTGTTGCTACAGGCTATATAACATGAATTAGGAGTGTGTGTGAATCATCAAGGGGATTTGGGTATTACGTACCTCTGGGCTGGGTGGGACCATATAATCACGTTCAGCATGTTCTAATGATTCGGACCACCTCTTGACAACATTGGTATTCCAATCATCCTCCGAGAATGCCTTGGTGTTGTGATACTTTAACTCTGAAATGTCGGTTGCGCCCTCCTCGAGTATCAATACAACTGCATAACGTCGATGATCCACTGCTGCAAATTCCACCATGCAATGCAACGTCTCTGCGTCTAGCCGTTTGTAGTATACTGGATTACGATACAATTGATCATGTGTACTCCACTCAGTCTCGATGATCCTTTGACAGTCGTCCTTTTGCCATTGAATAAGGTTGCTCCACTCGTCTTTGGATGGTTCTTCATTCGAGTCGTTACCACTACTACTTGACAGCGATGGTCCAAGGAATCGAACTCGGTGGGCTAGCAACTTGGATGCCATGGGAACCAAGGTTGTAAAGTTGTGTTGTTGTCTTTGCTCGAGCACCGTATAGGCTAGCGATCGTGCAATGTTTTCATTGGCGTAGTCATCGATGGCCTCCATGAGTGCGTGTATGGGTATGCAGCAGATATCGTGGGAGAGAAAAGAAGCGGTGTGTGATGTATGCAACAAAGATCAGCCCACAACTCCTCCCCCATTTTAACACCCAACGCCCACCTCGATCTACTTATACCCCGTAATTCTCCGTTGACTTGACAAAGAGACAATGAATAAAAAACAAAAAGGATGTATTACATACTTATTACGCAGTTGTATACAGTATAAATGGGGAATTGTGATAAAAGATCATCACCCTCTAAATCTTGCCTTGAAGCAACTCGGAGATGGCGGCCTTGCCGTAGAGTCGGAAAGTGTGGTAGAATGAAACAAAGTCAACGGTGGAAAAGATTGTGTCAAACATGCCAAAAGGAAGCATCAATGGAATCCATCCACGAGCGTATTCCAAAGCCCAAGCGTGTTCAGGGATCTTGTATTGTTGGCAGTTACCACGGGCCAAATGATGCATCTCACCAGGCTTATACACCTATACGTAGTATATACATATGAATACCTTGTTCGCCTTTTCCTTCAACCTCTTCCTTTTTCTTTTTACTTACCTCACGCTTAAGTTCACCAGCAGCATATGCCCATTGTTCACCTTCCAAGATGATAAAGTAATCGTCGGCAAGGAAACGACCGGTATGACCCTCAGTGCCAACAGGGGTGCCAAAGATGATGACATACTCGGTAATGGAGGCGTGCAAAATCCACATGGAGCCCATAGCACCACCGGCATTGTTGAATACCCATTCTTCCTTGATTTGAATATGACCAGGATACTCACGCTCCAAATCGGCAGCAATGTTGGTGATCATGGCATGGCTGTCATTTTGATATTTCTCAATGTTGCGTTGGGCGACCTTGTGAAGCACGTGCTGGTCAAACACATAGAACCGTTCCTTGACTTGGTCAAAGCCGACAAACACGGCAGCGAGCAAAGTAAAGACGAATAAAAGACGAAGGAGCTTGGACGTGCTGCAACAGCTGCTCTTTTCAGATGAGTCCTTGATGGTCATTGTCGTTCCTGAACGAAAAGGAAAAAAGAGAAAAAAGGAAGAACCAACAATCTCAGCACAACCCAACTTTTTTTTCATGTCACACAAATGTCAACCCCAAACTCCTTCAACCTCATCACATGATATTTGCTCCACTACTTGTACTTCTTGTCCACATGGCATTTAATCATTAAAGCTATCATTGATGTTCATATCTTTGGACTCAATGAGCATTGTTTATCAACCAACGGATTATGTGAGTGCCTTTTGTATGTATCCACGATGGTTGTCATTCGCAACAAGGCATGGGTTGTTGTGTGTAACAAAGACAACAGCATTAGAGAAGGGTAGTCTTCATTAATACGACATGATGAATACGTGTGTGCAAAGTGGTCTTTGTTTACGGTTGACGGTATCGATCATAGTGGTAAGAATGGATGCACAGGCATTGGTTTGGGTGTAACAACAAAGATGACGGCGAGATGTAGGAGGTGGACAATGAATGCATTGATGATGATAGCTCCTTGTGCAATAGAACAAGCCATGTATCAAATACTACTACAATGGGTCACACTTAAGAATGAAATAATCTTTAATAGGCTCATAGTGAACGATGATGATGATGGCAGGTTGCTATGAGAGAAATCCAATGTGCGGGGAACGACGAGAACGACAACGACAACGAGATGGGCTGGGTTGCGAGTATAATCTCTCTCTCTGAGATCACTTGACGGCAGCGTGTCGTATCCTTCTCTTTACTTGGTGCTTCTCGAATACTATGGACCACACACATACACACGATCACACGCACGATCACGACCACCCCATGCACGACCATAACCATGATGCCGTGGATCCTGCTGAAGCTGAACGTATTCATTTACGCAACGTCTTGACCGCCTTCACTTACTACAAATCCCATGCGCTGAAACGAAACCATCGCCGTCGACACGACTTCCTCGCTCTTCCAGAACACCACAAACGACTTATTCCTGACGTGATGGATAAGATAAACCAAGTGGACCGGTGTATCGAGCAAAACATGATCATGCTTCGGGATATAGTCAAATGCGCTGGCATGTTTATGGGTATCGATCCACGTGCTCTGGTCGCTGAAGGATGTCGTGATAAGGTAACTCTCTTCATTCCTCGCTTGACAATCATCGTATTCATGGATCTCTCTATCCATCCAGGGCAACAATCCACCTGTAACTCCTATGGACATGGACAAGGTGCGAAGCACATTAAAGCAATTTGTACGCGATTGGGCTGAAGAGGTAAAAAGTGAAACATCCTGCTATCATTCAATGCTCCACTCTAACCTCTCTCTCTCTCTCTCTCTTTTATAGGGAAAAGCTGAACGTGATGCCACTTATCGTCCTATCTTGGAAGAGCTCAATTCGATCTACAAAGATCTCAAGGTTGAAGAACGGTATGTACAAGTTGATAAGGGTTAGGATTGTGATTGTTGATTTCTACTATACAACAGAGGTCATATTCGAGTCTTGGTGCCTGGTGCAGGATTGGGTCGATTGGCTTATGATATTGCTCGACAAGGTATGTAACGATCTCTATTTTGGATCTCAGTTTGATCTCATGTGCCCTTTTCATGCCGTTCACAGGTTTTAGCTGTCAAGGTAAGTTGTACCAAGAATACATCATGTGACATGAATTATTAATCTCCATGCAATGATAGGAAACGAGTTTTCATTCTTTATGGTAAAGAAAGATGGAAGGAAAAGGTAAAAAGTGAGAGGCTAATGGTAGTTTTATCTGGAATAGCTCGTGGCATCCAATTTCGTGTTGAATCGAATGAGCAAGGCTGGGGAATACGAGATTTATCCATTCGTGCATTCCTTTTCCAACATCCGCTTGTCGTCACAACAACTTGCACCTGTGCGTGTCCCAGATATTGTGCCATCCAATTTACCATCCACGGTTGACTTTTCAATGGCTGCAGGTGAATTCGTGGAAGTATATGGTGATGATGAGAGCAACCATGGTAGGTGTTTTTCAGCACTTTATGGCATGAGATTCTGATGGAGATACTTATGCAACAGGTGCATGGGATGTGGTGGTGACTTGCTTCTTTATTGATACGGCAACCAACATCTTGTCCTACATTGAGACTATCCACAAGATCCTCAAGGAGGGAGGTACCTGGATCAACATTGGTATGTGCTTTATGATGGAAATAGTAATCGAGCAAAGAGAAACTAATGTAATCATGTATAGGACCTCTCTTGTACCATTTTGAAGACGCACCCAACGAGTCATCGATTGAATTGAGTTTGGAGGAAGTCAAGCGGGTATCGAAGGATATTGGATTCCAATTTACGGTTAGTGGATGTGAAATTTTATATTGATTGTTCAAGCTGGGGACTTACTTTTCGTGATGTATAGAACGAGAAGATGATCAACACCACCTATACATCGAATCCAGATGGCATGTTGAAGTATGTATACGAGTGTGCATTCTGGACAGCAAACAAGGTATCATCATCATCATCATCATCAGCATTATCATCATCATCATCTACATCGTTATCGCAGCAGCAGCAGCAGCAGCAGTAATAGTAGTGGTAGTGGTAGCAAGTAGCAGTAGTAGAGCGAATAAAAGAGCCAATCTCCGCAAGCCAAGTTCATCGTGCGCGTATCTCCTTTTACTTCATCAACCCTCCATCTCGTCAACCATGTCATTACAGGCAACCGCGTTTGCCTACCTCTTTCCAGGCAGCCCCATGGTGAACTCATTGCTGGCCACAGCTTACATTTCCATCTTCCCCAATCTACTATTGTACTTTGTCCCTCCTGATATCAATACAGGCGCGTTGAACGTCTTGGTCAGTTTTGCTGTTGGTAAGGAGATCCTCTATCTATCACCCATATGAACTCGCGTGCAGGGATCAATTAACATGTGATGGTATGTATGATGATAGGTGGATTATTGGGAGATGTCTTTTTGCACTTGTTGCCACATGCATTCCTCGGTGAACACGTTGAGAGCGGATCCATGGTGCAGGTCAATGAGCAAAAGAATGTCCTTATCGGCATGGGTATCTTTGGTGGATTGTTCTTCTTTTTCGTCATGGACAAGTTGATGCGTGTCTTTAATGGTGGTAGCGGTCATGACCATCATCATCATCACCACCAAGAACAGAACGACCATGATCATGCAACAACATCTGCTGTGAAGGATTCAAAAGACAACAATCTTCGACAACGTAATGGTGGAAAGCAAAAAGAGAATGAAAAGGAGGAAGAGGAGGAACACAAGCATAACAACAATGATGGTGGTATCAAGCTTAGTGCCTATTTGAACTTGCTTGCCGATTTTACACACAACATGACGGATGGTCTTGCCATGGCAGCTTCCTTCTATGCATCCCCCAGCGTCGGTGCCACTACCGCTGTAGCTGTATTTTTCCACGAGATCCCTCATGAAGTGGGTGATTATGCCATCTTGATCCAGTCAGGTTTCACCAAGCAACGAGCCATGATGGCGCAATTCACAACAGCTGTTGGCGCTTTTCTTGGTACTATTATCGGCATCGTCATTGAGCAAATGTCTCGGTCGTCATCATCCGAAAAGGCAGCACATGATGCATTGCATGATGCTGGTATCATGGCAACCGGTTTACAATGGAGCGATTTGGTGATTCCTTTCACTGCTGGTGGATTCATGTACATTGCTACGGTGGGTGTCATTCCTGAACTACTCGAAGTGACCGGCAAGATTCAAAAAGATCGTCGTCAAGCATTATATGAATTTGGAGCCATGTTGGTGGGATTAGCTTTGATGGCTGTCATTGCATGGAACGAGGGAGCCGCATAAAAGTGGGGGTGGTCTATAGTTAGAACTTGAGATAAGCATTATCATCAATAGACTACACTACTACATTTGACAACAAAATCATTGGCGCTGCTGTTTATTCCGCCTCTCTTATTTTTCCTTTATCACTCTTGCTTTCTTTGCTATATCACTATGACTACAGCCAACGGTCCCACAGCTTTTGCAGACGATGGAAGCGCCGTCATTAGTCGTACAGTCGATGTCCAAAGCGTCAAACACAGCAATCTCGAGTCATTGTACGAGATCGATCGCACGGTGGATGCCATCCTCAAAGGCAACTACCAAAGGATCACGCTCCAATTCCCAGACGAGTTGCTTGCCGATGCTGCTTCAGTGGCCACCGAATTAGAGAAGCGAACGGGACAACATATCTATGTGCTTGCAGATACTTCCTATGGCAGTTGTTGTGTGGATGAAGTTGCTGCTGAACATGTCAACGCTGATTTGATTATTCACTATGGACGATCCTGCCTTAGCCCGTATGTATACAAATAAAAAAAAAAGCATTGATTGAATGGGTAGAATGGGTCTACTTACACACGCACTTGCATAGTACATCACATCTTCCCGTTTTATACGTATTTGGCCAGCAATCCCTTGATCAAGACCATTGCATCCATGAATTTGAACAGCTATTCCCGGATCCTTCCATACCAGTGATTGTTATGTGCGACGTGGAATATTCTTATGCAGTTGGTAAGTAACATCTCTGGTAGTAGCGTGATCATGCATGATGATTGATCCCTTGAAAAGAATCATTGGTGAAAAGGCTATCGAACAAGTATACCAACATTATTCCTACGAGCATCCAAACCGAATCCAAGCTGCAGGCTGTGCTGGGGAATGACAACAACAAGGAGGAGCAAGAGGCATCATCATCACCCACTACAACAACAAAGGGCGGACGTTATTATGAGCTCCCCGAGGATATTGCAATTGAAGACTGCTCCATCTTTTTCATCGGTGCAGAAAGTCTTACTTTGACCAACATCATGATGATCCACAACAAATGCCCGGTATGTGTGTATTGAAGAATGTGGAGGGGAGAAAAAGGAGAAAAGGAGATAGACAATGGTTGACATGTTGTTTATGTTTTGCGTCGTGTATAGGTGTATACATACAACCCCAAGACACGAGAAGCACGGAGGGAAACAGTGCAGGTGAACCGATTATTGATGAAACGGTAAGGGTTCTTGGAGAGATACCTAAGGGGTGGAAAAAAGGGGAAGGAGAGAGAGACAAAGTAAGCGTATACTGATTGATGTGTGTGTGTATGTGAGGATAGTTATTCATTAGTGCAAAAAGCAAAGGATGCCGAGACATTTGGAATCGTTGTCGGCACACTAGGTGTAGGTACGTAAAAGAGGGTGATGCAAGGATAAGCGAGGGAAAAAAAGGTGAACGAGTGCGCGCGCAATTGGGGTGAGGGGGTTGGATGATATGGTTGCTTGCTCCTAGTCGGGGAATGACTAATGAATGGACATGATGCTGCTCCTTTGTATAGGATCGTACATGGATATCATTGATCACGTCAAAAAGGTGATCCGTGCCTCTGGTCGAAAATCATATACGATGGTGATGGGCAAGCTGAACGTTGCCAAAATGGCCAACTTTATGGAGGTGGATTGCTATGTTCTTGTTGCATGTCCTGAAAATAGTTTGATTGATTCAAAGGTAACATCCCTCACTCTCTCTCTCTTTGTCTCTATTATTTTGGGTGCATTATTCTATGGGTGTTCCTTTTTTGCCCTTTTCTTCCTATGTTTTTGTTCCCTTTCCGCTTGTTCTTCTTTTTGTGGACCAAGGAGCTATTTACTCACCGTGACATTTGACTTTGCTTGTGTATGTGTGTATGTGTGTGTGCAGGAGTTTTACCGCCCAATTGTCACCCCTTTCGAGCTGGAACTTGCAGTTGTCAGGTACATGAAAATGATTTCTTTTCTCCTATGTATCGCTCCTTTTAGTGCTCATATTATTTTGTATGTGTGGACGAAAACGTGCATAGATCCAAGGAGTGGACAGGCGACTATATTACTGATTTCTCCAAGCTTCTACCGAATGTGCGTACGGATGGCTTCTCGTATCAAGATGAGGCAAGTATGAAACACGTGCAATCATCAAGATGGAAACATTGTGGGCTAACCTACCCTATTCCTCATCAGGAACAAGATGATGTTTCAAGCGATGAAGAACCACACTTTTCCCTTGTGACGGGCCGCTATGTGTCATCTACAAAGACACGCGTCAAAAACAATGTTGATGGTAAACTCATGCTCATATATATATATAGATAGATGATTTATTACTTGGGCTAACATGTGTCAATAGAACAAGCATTGACCAGCAGCTTAACTGATTTGACGATCCGCAACAACAGCAATACGATCAGCCGGCTGCTTGACAGCACAGCAGGTAAATGGGAGAGGAATGATGATGGAGGATGGTCATATCGTACATATGAACAAGGCATACTGAATGAGGAATCTCTTAAGGGGAATACTTGAAGAATCGTTCATTCAGGGGTTTGGAACAAAACTTGGGGCAAACAGAAGTAAGCACCATTCAAGAAGGCCGATCCGGTATTGCTAGAGGATATCAGGGTGAAAAGGATTTGTAAAAACTTGTTGAATATAGCTATCTTGGCAAAGTTTACGCAAGTTTTATGATGGTGTGCATGTATGTGTATGTATGTGTGTGGGTGTACCGATATTATTGTCTGTGGCGCAGGGATGGTCAGTGTGGTGTCTTGAATAGGTGAAATGAACTCAAGCCACGCGGTTTTCCCAAATGCATGCACGCATCTCTTGTCATGCCCGCGTCTTCCCCCAAGAAAAAGAGCACAAGAATCCTTACCATCCCTTTCCCTTTGCTCCTTGCTCATCCCTTTGCACTATCTTAGTACACAGCTCCCCAATACCAAGATATGACTTAATACAGTTAAAGACAAGAAGAAAAAGGAATTAAGAAAATCGGGGGACGGCCTTGGAGCTATTAAAGGAAAGAGGCACAGCGTGAAAAGAAAGGGGGAGGGATTAGTGAATGAGCGAGAGAGCATGACATGATCCACAAAGTGGGTGCCATGATGATGAAATGAGGAGTGCTTTGCATGAGACAAGCCGGATATTGACGTGGAATGAGGAAAGCGATGTGACGATTGTGTTAGGTTATGATGAGCGAAAAGAGCAAAAGGTGAGATAGGGGATCGGCATGAGCAATATGCAGGGACCAGATCACAGGATCTGGCAAGCACGAACTGTTGCTAAACGTGCGCTCGTGCGGGTGGATGAACAATGCATCAACACAGAGCACCACCACCACCACCACCACCACCTCTGACATGACCCTGTGCTCCAAGGGGAAATTCACTCACACTGATCTTCCACCCACCCCGTTATTAAGCTCGTTTATTTATCCATATCAAGTGGATGTTTCTCGTGCATTGACCCACTGTTAAGCTACCATCTATCCCTGGGGCTTTGATATCGTCGTTCTGTTACTACTGCGAAAGGCATTACGGTATCCATGGCAACATGTAGTATAGCAACCCCATCTTTGTGTGTGGGTATGAAATGTATAAAGAAACTTTGACATTGCATGTATTTCATGTGCCTCGCATGGTGGGGGATATGAATGGGGGAAAGAAGCAACGCACAAGGAAAAGCAAAGCATGGTTGCATCGCATACGAGTGTTGTGTGTAGGTGTGTGTGCGTTGTTTGCGTTGTCAGACGCTTGGTCCACTTATGCACGCTTCAGCAACACCGCGTGGTAATGTTGGATTGAGCGTTAGGTTATGTGGGATAACCCGCGTCCTTGCCTCCTAACAGGGACATTGCAAATGAAAAAGAGGAAGAATATTGCGTTTCATTCCTCTTGGCCAGTGTGTGCTTTGATACTGTTCTCAGACTCTTTAGAGACGAGAAAACCAAAAGAGAGAGAGAGAGCAAAAGAGAGAGAGAGAGAGCAAAACCCCTTCCCCTTTTTTCTCTGGAATTTCGCTCCTTTTCCCTTGATGGCCCTAATCTCTCTTACTCTTTCTATTCCTATCTCGGATTATCAGCAGCAGCACTTTTCCAGGGTATATAAACCGGCTGCATGATCCGCGTTTGAAATCAATCTGCATCCACTTCATCCACTCTCACATTACAAACACTCATACACAAACACATTTATACATACATTCAAACATGCAATCGTATACCACTACTACTACTGCTGCTGCTGCCACTGCTGCTCCTTCATTTTATACACCTGCGGAGCTGCTCGAATCTTTCCCTCCATTTCCACCTCAGGGTGATTTTCGTCCCACCTTTTATAATCCATTTGAAATCAAGCATCGTAGACGCACTTCTCGCGCTCAGCTCAAGGTGTTGGAAAAATCGTTCGCTGAAAACGCAAAACCCAATGCAGCCGTACGTCGTATGCTCGCTCAAAAACTTGACATGACACCTCGAGGTGTTCAAATTTGGTTCCAAAACCGAAGAGCAAAGGCAAAGCTTCAACGACGTAAAGCTGCTGCTTCCCAACAACAACAAGATTCATCCGCTTCATCATCTACCACTCAACACAATGCAAGCAACAACAACAACAACAGCACAGCAACCATCACATCACCTGCCGAGCAACAACAACAGCAACAAGCAAGTTCTTTTAATGATGCCTCGCACCATAACAACAATACCAACATGGAACAATCGGTATTATTCTCTCAATTCTCTGCCAACATTGGTCCAGCATGCATGGAATATGAAGGCAAGCCTGCTTTTGCCACAAGCATTCCACCTAATGCCACCGTTGCCGATAAGAGTGCGACTCACTATTGGCCAACAACATCCTCTTCATGGCCAAGCAACACTGAAAGTGCTCAATCGGTGGCACTTGCAGCAGCAGCAGCTGCTGTCAATGCAAGCACACCTTATGACCCAAGCTGGTTTGTGCACCCTCTTCAAGATGACATGACGATGGCTGCTGCTCGCCGAAACTCGTGCCCTGTTCCTAATATGTACGATCCTTACTTTGAAGTTGATCAGGTAAAGTAATCATCTATCCTATAAAAATATTACATGCTAACATGTCGAACATCGCTATATAGTGCAAAGACCGCCGAGTATCAGAGACCGATATTAATTCATACAACATGATGCCCAATGCTTGCTGGAGCGATCCTTCAGTCATCCCTGTTGACTTTTGCACCATGGATATCAGCTTTGATTATGGCAACCCTGCCATGGCACCTTCAACATGCTCAGGATCCTCAACATCCAACTCAGTGACTGATTCACCAGCTTCGCTTGGCTGCTTCGATTGTCTATCATCAGAAACCTTTTTGCCACCCGCTTTCCACGACACGGCCTAATTCAATTTCGTACAACTGCACATGCAACACTATACCTTCATTCATTCCCCCCAACAACAGCTTTTGCACATAGTTCACCAATATCCACAAACGCACACACATCATATATACACACTCACACCACGCACGTATACAAACACCCGCCCCCCTAAAAGCATGCGCATCAAAAATGCTTCATTTTTCTTTCTATACACATACACACACACACACGCACGCTCACCCACAAACACCACCTCATCAGTATACACGAATACCTTACATACCCACCATTTCTCACCCTAAATTTCCCCTTCTTCTTTGTTCCCCTTGCCTCCCCTCCTCATGGTTCTTTTCAGTTCTTGCTTTTCATTTGTTTTTTCCTTTGCTACGCTAATTTAATCCTCACGTCATTCACACACACTCTATGCCCACACGAACACAACTTTTTACCCTTGTTATGAAAGATTGGACAGGTATTACAACAACATCCCTTTGGTAATTATGACCATCCCACACCACGCTCTACATTATTAGTACATTACATACATTCATACATCCCTCATCATCACCAACAATAAATCATCAATAATTTTTGCACGATGTTAACAAACATATATATTATCATGATGCATGTGTTTCTTGCTTCCCATTCTCGAGCTCCAAGCTATGTTCCATCATCCCCCATTGACCCCTAGAATAGTACAAGGGCTTGCTCTTGCCGCTAGCAACATCTCCATTGATTAGAATGTGCCGAATGGATGATCCTGGCGTGTCATACATGGCATCCAACAACAACTTCTCCTATAGTAGACAAAGTTCATTAGCATCATCATCATCAACACCAGCCTCATTGCATCAACCACCTCCATCCTCTTTCCCCTAAAACAAATAAACCCTGCTCATCCCCCATTTCCTAATAATACACCTTCCGGGTCTTTGGAGGAGGTCATTGCGCGCAATGTCGTCAAAGTGTATACACCCATCCAAACTTACCATGATTCTACGAAGACCCCTGGCACCAGTCTTTTTTTGTACAGCTTGCCGAGCAATCAATCCAAGAGCTTGTTCAGTGAACCTTATCTCTGCCTAAAAGGAGATGAATGAATGTATGGATGGATGAGCAAGCTTTCGTGTTTGAAGAGAAAGAGAAAGAGAGAGTTGTACATACCTTGTAAAGATTGAACAACTCTTCATATTGTTTGACCAATGCATTTTTGGGTTCCGTCAATACACGAACAAGGTCCTTTTCAGTGAGCTGATTGACATTGACAAGCACGGGTAGACGACCAACAAACTCGGGGATCATGCCATATTTCATAACGTCGTGCGGTTCAACTTGATCTAGGGCAGACTGTTGTATATCATTCTAACGACAGGAGAGAAAAAAAGTGGGTGTGTGAGTGATATCCATTCTGATGTATGAACCCCGAATACATGTTTATTACCGATGAAGGAAGGCTGCTGCCAATACGTCGCACAATGTGATCTTCCAAACCAACAAATGCACCACTTAGGATAAACAAGATGTTGCTTGTGTCGATCGTGAATACATCTCCTGGATGTGGTGGTTGTTGCTGTTGTTGATAATGCACGCCACCACTGGTACCACCACCACTGCCACTGCCACTTGCTGCAGGAGCGCCACCCCCCTCCACGGGTGATCCCAATGGATTAGGTATCACTTGATGGCCCATGTAAGTTCCACCGGTGGTCGTCATGGGTCGACTATGTTGGCTTGGACCACCACCACTGCCACCACTGCCACCTCCTTTGTAAGTAACCTTGACCTGAGTTCCCTCCAACATTCGTAAAAGAGCTTGCTGTACACCTTCGCCGCCAATATCTCGAGAATTGGATCCATGATCACTTCGTTTGGCAATCTTGTCAATCTCGTCAATAAAGACAATCCCCCTTTCAGCTTTATCCACATCATAATCGCATGCCTATACATATACATAATGCATCATCATGGGGGATCAATACAACAATGATGATGATATTGGGGGGTGGTGTTGATGGTAAATTACCTGCAATAGACGTTCAATAACGGATTCAACATCCTCCCCCACATAACCAGCTTGAGTAAAAGATGTGGCGTCTGACATGGAGAAAGGCACCTGCAGGACACTTGCTAGTGTCTTGGCGAGGAGTGTCTTGCCTGTTTGTGTGGTGAATGAAAAAAACATACAACATTGGATCGTCAGCCTGCAGCATTCATGTCAATGACAACCTCCCCTCCCCTCCCTCCCTCCCTCCTCACTCCTCATACCTGATCCAGTAGGTCCAATAAGCAACACATTGCTCTTTTCCAACAAGGTCTTTTGTTCTCCCATCGCTTGTAATTCATCCGATCTCCAAAATGAAGTGCGATAATATCGATCTTGCTCCTTTTGTGTATCCACTTCTTCTTCATTGATGTGATGGTGACACAAGTGCTCTGATGATGATTCGTTCACCTCGTTGCTGGTACTACTGCTGCTGCTGCTGCTTGTACCCCGTTCCAAGTTGGCTTGCACTCGGGTATAATGATTGAATACGGCTACGGAAAGCACTCGTTTCGCCTGATCTTGTCCAACAACATAGTCATCGAGCACCTTGGTGATCTACAACATCACGACTTGTATTCAGCTCATGTTGCTTTTGGTTCCCATGTTCACTTACGAGACGTGGATTCAACGCATTCACCGAAAGACAACGCTTGTTGATGAACCTTGATGCGACTTGTCGACGACTGAATCGTATGGCAACAAACATGATATGACTGACGTAAATCGAGCGAGAGAAAGAGAGCGGATACTGCTTGCGTCTAAGGGACAAGGAGATGATGATGGCGTTTTTATGCGAGCGGTCGGATTAAAGCTATTGATCCCAAGCGACAAATGATGTCTTGCACACGTAGAAATGACTCACGGACAATCACATTTGATATTGGATACATGAATAAATGGAATTATCTTTATAACTGAATTTGACAAAATGATATGCTAAATGCCCTAATCTTCCTCCTCAGCAGGTTGTTCTTCTTCATCATCATCCTCCATTTCTTCTTCTTCCTTCTTCTTCTCTTCTTCTTCTTGTTTTGCTTTCTCGGCTTGTATTCTTATACGTTCTTCAGCTGCGTGTTGAATTGAGATTTGCCATTCTTTAACATCCTGGTGTGAAGGGCCTGGTGTGCTAACGATGGCATGGTAACGCTCAGCACCGGTAGCACCATGCAAGGCTTCACTGTAACTAGCACGACGCATAGACGCAATACTTGCATCAGCATCTTTTTCGGATCCCACCGTGTATTTGAAGGTCTCAGTCTTCCCAGGCATGTCAATTTGCAATGATGCCGTTTCACCTTTATTGGACTTGAGGAAGCGTTGGCAATCAATGCCAGCGCTGCGTGGCAACCGTTGACATTGTTGTACTGTCAGGGCTCGATCACCATATGTGACAGGGCTCAGTCGATAAAATTGATGTGCTGCTAAACCAACCAAGAGCATGAACAAGAGTACACGATATCGTCTTGCCCATCGCATAGTAACAGCTTCAATCACAATCGATACAAAGCCTGCACTGAGCAAGGTGTTGGGAAGGATGTCACCAGGATGCATGGAAAACGTCGGCATAAATCGTAACGTAAACACTTGCAAAACCGTTGCCATGGATAAAAACCCAATGGATTGATGGAACAACTCACGGGTAGCAATTGGATCATAGCCTAATAGAACATGTCAATCATCTTATAAAAGTATACTTTCTTTGTAATTTACCTGCCCATGCAGCTCCTGTGTTAGCCCATAACTTGACTTGCAACCAATTGACTTGTCGTTTCTTGAGCAATGTGTCAACGACCCAAAAGATAGCACATCCAAGAATGGAAAATAGGGTCAACATGCGTCCCAAGGGATTAAGCGTAATGTAAACAGCTTTCCCGGAAACTTGATCCCAAAGACGAGCACCAAGTTTACCAGTGAACCATATACCAAGCCTAGGTTTTTGGAGTTGGTGTTGAAAGTGCTGATACAATGGGTCAGCAGGCTTCTTGGATGCCAATTGGTCTTGAATTGTTGAAGGATAAGACAACATGAGCGAGTGAACTTCCATGATCTTTTCCATAGTTGTCATTTTGGGATAGCTGATGGATTCTTTGTCTTCCACTATATACCAAATCATTAGTCACACATCGTTTATAACCTTTTCTTTGGATACTTGCATTGTTCATGGTATGCACTTTCAATGACAAATGTGCTGACTTCCTTTTTTGCTGGGGCAAAACAAGATACTTCCTGTTGTGGAGGCATGCCATCTTCATTCTCTGGAAGACTCACTTTGTGACTCATCAAATGACATCCTCGTACATGCAAAAGGCGAAAACGTGTGTTGATAGCTTGAATAGGTGTCTTGTCCTTGCCTCGGTGGATGTCATCATCAAAGATAATTTGCGCCCACCAATAATCATGCGGATCGGTAATATAAGGATCACCATATGCACTAGGGTGCATCATTGTTTAGCTGCCACACTCGTCATATCTACTCAGGTCCATTCATACTTACGTTACTTCCGATTGTTCTTTCTTGTTGGTCACTGGAGGGCGATGATCATGTGAATGCAGTTTGCGAGAGGTTGCATAGTGCTCAAGCATGACTTGATCATTGTTGCGTACGTATTCAAGTGGCTGGGTATCATTCCATCGCTTGCCAGCTCGGTGGATAATCCAAATATTGTTGAGATCAAAATGAGGATACATGGTTACTTCTTGCTCTATAAGGTGTGGCACATGTCAGCTACGTTTATGGCATCCAAATACTATGACAACGTACGTGTGCTTCCCTCTTTGTATCGCCTGAGATGTGAATGAAGATATCCACCATTGCTACCAAGGTGTCTCAAAACAATGCTAGAGCCATAAGCAATATCTATGCGATAAAGTTAAGTATATACGATGAGCAAAAAATAGGGGTACTTACCTTTTTGAACGGGTTCATGGTGGTTGCCTTCAAGCGAATAACGCAATGGGCTGCTTACAGCAAGATCATGATCACCTGCTTTAGGGATTAAACCCATATGGACATGGAAAATGGCATAATAAATCATCATTGGAAGAGCTGCAGTAGCCAAAAAGCGTGCTGTGAATTGGCGCCCAACGTACCACTATAGCCAATGGGTTAATGTTCGCTCGTGAATCATCCCCAATACAATAAATGATACTTGCCAGCGAGAAACGTTTCTCACCCAGTATTCTCCAGAGGTACATGAACGATGATATCCACGTGATGATAAATGTAAACACGCCTTGCCATTTGGTGCTATATTCATACATCAGTGATCATGTCTATTGTATTTTTTGTTGCCTCCTCACCTGATACAGGTACCGATACCCACACCTGTGGCCAACAATGAAGTCCATGGGATGGCAAAGGGCTCTCTGCATACCTCCTTGTTAACTCCGCTCTTGGTACGTGCATTATTTAAACCTACCTTTCTTGTTTTTTCATTTGCACCACCCATGCGAGGATAGTCAAGCCTGTGAAAAGACAAAGTGGACCTTCGGTTGAGATGTACCTTGATTGCGTTACAAGACCATTCTCTATAATACATAGCAAATAAATACCCATATTCATCTTTATATTGTTGCTCTTACCAAAGATAACCAATCCAGCTGCCATGCTAGCAGCTAAGCTTCCATGGCCTAATGCACGCACAATAAGATACGTAGCTGGGACCAAAAGCGATCCTAGCATAGCTGAAAATACACGAAGATCCTCAATAGGAAACGCATCCAAAATTCTATACCATCCAACGTCAGGCACATAATACAATCAAAGTGACCGTTTACTTACTGGCCAGAATAATACACGGTTTGATCACCCTTGTATCCAAGATGGTGTGCCAAATACGTATACATCATTCCTGCAAGTGGTGGGAATGCGCCAACAAAGAATTTTCCTTGCAGGTACCAATTGACTTGTGAGCACAGCTCAAGCTCTTGATTTCTTTTTTTTGAACGCGATAAGCATGGGTGCATGATATAAAACAAGAGACTTACAGTATACCACTTGGAGAAATGGTACCCATGACGCGATAGTACATGGATGTGAGTGTGAGAAATGCGACATAAGTATGCTCTCGCAATAGCATGCTTGTGAATCGAGAACGAGAGGATGCATTGTATCGTTGTGCTTTACCATCAAATTGCATTGATGGCCCTGCCGACGTAGGTGACGAAGACGGTGTAGATGACGCCTTCATGATTTACCACAGGAAAACAGAATCAGCGGCAATTGAGAAAGAAAGAAAGAAAGAAACAATGGAAAGATCCGGTAGATTGAAGAAATGATGAATGATTCAAGGTAAGCTTAATACACCAAACGCTGTCATGGATGCATAACCACTCTAATCATGCCATAATAGGAAATACACCTGTCAAAAGGGCAGGGCAGGTATGATTTTAATTTCGTCTAAATATACGCACACACTGCACTAGACACAAACTATCTATCCATGCATGCCAACATTCATCACAACAAGAGGTAACGCAAAACAACAGCGTGATCCATCGTTCTTTTGGGGTCGAATTACTTCAAAAGAGGAAATTGCAGCTCTTGCTCGTAATCGGTGCGTGAAAGATTTCTCCACCATGGAATCTCCATCGGCAAGTTGTCTGGATGAATATCATTGAAATGTTCCTTGATCAATTTCATCAGTAATTGATGCACAGCCTAGAATCCATATCTTCAATCAGCTATTATCCGTGACAAACAACCCTCTTGTAAGCAAGCCTACATACCCGATTGCCTTTGGCACTCAAATGTAGTCCATCATTGAGATATTCTCCAAAATGAGCCTCGCCCGATTCTTCAACAAGCATAGTCCATAGATCTGCCACGACCACATTGCACTCTTTGGCCACTTCACGTACTGCTGCTGCATATTGTTTAGCCGATTCAAAGGTCCGGTTCAGGGGGCCATCACAATTCTTTTCCCATTGGGCTTCGTCAAGTGGAGGAGGTGTGATAAGAACGAGACGCGTCGTTGGATTGTAATAAGGAGAGTCAGGTGATTTGACCATGGATATCATCTTGCGAAGGTTATCCTTGTATTGCTCAAGTGGAACATGCTGATCGGAAAATGGCAATGCAGCATCATTGGCACCGAAAAAGATGGTCATTAACTGTACTTGGGACGCATGCTGCTTTTGTTGCTCGACAGTCGGTAGCAATTGACGTAGAATAGGAAGAGCCCATTTGGTATTGTATCCTATCCAAATGATACGTGAGAGTCTTCTTGATTGATACCTATATCAACCACCATCACCATGACCACAACAACATACCTGAGAAACCACGATTCATCACATCCATGCGACGTTGATAGCTCTAATCATCACCCAAGAAACACATTAGCTCGCTGCATACATCCATGGTGTCATATGACCTACATGAGCAAGACCAGCACCAAAACCGCTCAACTCTGGATCAAAGCTAAACTACAAGCGCGTATACACACACGCACGTCAATAAAGCCTTGCAAGGAACGTGGATTCGACATTGTACCTGTGTGATGGAATCCTACTTGAGCATTTAGTACCGTTGCAAATTACACGCATGTCGTTCAGTGTAATTACTCCAAACAAAACTATACGATGGTAGGGATGGCTCATTGGCAACGAAGAAGACAGGTACACTGACTGCTGAGAAAAGAGGTTCCGACAAAGAAATGACAACCTATTGCCACCGCCGCTGATATAGCACCATCTTGTCAGCCATGCTTCGATGAATGATGTATCTCTTGATCACACACATTGAAATGCGTCAGCTATAGATGCTATAGTTAAATCATATCTATCATACATGGCTAATAAAAGGATCAACGTCGCCAGCAGCAAGGCCAATCGTTTTGCATACAACATCTATATGACAAACATGTTGACTTGAGCATAAGAATTGGAGAGAATAAAACACCCAACACGTTTACTAACGTGCGTGAAAATTGTTTAGTAAAGAAAGATGACGGTGTCTGCATCATTTCTTTCCGCGGTGTTATACCAACAATGACGCTAACTTTAAAATGATACAACGATAGCCACCACAGTTGATAAGTAAAATACAACGGGGTCTATATGCTAGTAGCAGGATGCTTCTTACGGTATGACTAGCGGCCTAAGGTTGCTCGTTTCGCTCATAAGCTTTGGATTTCTCGTTCATTGGCTTGGCACTACTATGAGGTAATGCTTATGTACGCAAACGCATACCAATCTCGAAGTATTCATCTTTGAATGATCCTGCAACCCTTCGCCACCCATATTTACAAATCATGGGATATGACTGTCTTTATGTTTTTACTATGCTGTAAGCGTGATGCTATATGAAGGGTGGTCTTTGTTCATTTTGAATTAGCTTGAACCTGATAGAGCAAAAGATGCTCAGGGACGTGTTTGTGTAACTCAGCTGTTTTGCATGACTGGAAGGATTGAAGGATGATACCGATACACGATTGATAACAGTCCATAAGCTGTGAGCTAGCAGCAATTTTCTCACAATCGGCACCGTTGTCCTTTCTATAACATGTGAACAATGCCCCTGCTCCAGACATTCATTTCCATCCTTCAACTTTCTTGATCCGAGAGGATTTGATTGAAAAACGCTCAAACACAGAAGTATCGCCCAATATGAGAAAAACCATTTTGCAAAGTTATTTGTAAACTGCCAGCTAATAGCCCATTCCTCCCAATCACCTTTGTTTCCCAATCCAATGCATGTGAACGATTGTCTTGCTCCAGCCCAGCATGCCCATCATTTAACTTTCATGATTCGAGCTAACCTGGTAGTAAGGCAATGGCTGTTGTTGGATCATCATTATCATGTAAAGTGTAAAATGGCACACAACCTTTTGCTATACGTGAGAATCAATTCTTTTATTTACGTGTACCTATTGTCTATCGTGAGGGTGATGATGACGATGGGTGGATAGCGTGTGTGTGGGGTCATTTAGTGGCCTCAGTGTAATAGCAGTAGGGGATTTAAACTTGGGGAACAGCAGCTCCACGACTTGAGACAACGCTTCTCTTCTTTTTCTCACTCCTCTGCTTTTACTCCATTCACGACCATTGCGATCAAGGTAATGTACTATAAAAGAGTGCTCTTGTTGTTTGTCAGGCATTAACATAGTTCTGAACATGCATTGTCAGGGAGTGAGTGTGTCCAAAGTGCCGAGGAATGAGCGTGGTTGGCGGTTGGTGGTTGCCATGGCGATATTGTTGCTTCCTTTTGCTCGTTGCTATTCCCGCTCTACGCTTGGTGTCAACAGGTACATTCAGAGTCCAATGTTGCAGCGTAGCTTGTTCCATTGACGCGTCAGCTTGTATAGAGGGCAAGTTTGGTCTCAAGACGTGGGCTCGTTTGGCGTTTTGTTTCGGCTCAACACTACTACACCATGGTTTTCGGTTTCCAGTAACCAACAACAACGGGTCTTTGTGTATATGGAAAAGGCAAGTACAATGAAACAAACAATGAAAAGGGTGTTTATTGTGTGTGTGCTAATAATGAATTGAATAGGTTTCTTTGGTCAGGCAATGCAACTTGGGGCATCATCATCATCATCTCTTTGGGTTCGAGTCCCAGCCTGTATCAAGTGGCCGCTGCATCGCTCTGCACTAACCAAATGTGCTGGAAAAGCTTTTTGGAATGCGTCCAGGGCTCTACAGGCCTGCGTTGAGTTGATGGATCGACGACGATGGGTTTTTGGAAGAGCATGGTCATCTTGTTGAGGTAAAAGAGGATTTGCAACAGCTTGTGAATGTGTTAAACCAACACGCTCTTTTCGTGATAGGCTCGTTCTTTTGAGGTGGGAAATGATTGGAAGGATTGGGGATCATTCTTTGGAGAGGATGAATGAGGACAACTATGAGCCTGGACTCTACGTAAGTGATGTCCTTCCTTGCCATGGATCGAACTGGCCTTGCGTGATTCGTGCAGTGCTTTCTCAAGAACAAGGGATCGCCCGACGTTGCTCGTATGGCGGTGATTTGGTTTGTGAATTCATTCTGATTTGCTTTCTTCCTTAGAGAGGATCACCTAACTATACCAAATCGTCATCATTCCGGTACCAGATGGTCTAACTTGCCTGCTTTCTTATTTTAGAGACGACGATTACGATGATTACCACATTCACAACAATGACCATTACGATGATCACCCCATCCACAACAATGACAATGATGACGACAACGAGATACAAAAGGAAGCCTGCAAGATCCCATTCTTTTCAACCTGTGTGGTTTTGGATATTGGGTGTCGAGAAGGTTGACGAGTGCTCACGAGTACGAGTACTAGTACGAATGATGACGGAAGACGACTACGACTACGACGATGATGGTGGCAATGTAGCAAGATAGCTAGATGAAATAAAAGCATTGTTTATTTATTGCAATCTTGGACTTTGCTAGCTTGTGGATTACATACTATAGCTTCGAAGATGGAATAATAAAGGTGGCCCGGTTATCGGTTATGCAAGAAGTACCTGGCTTTTGTGATACAATAAGGAGGAGATAAAGCTCGGCGACACCAGAAGATATAGAAGCTGTTGCTTATTGTTGCAGATGCAAATAAAAGGAAGTGTCCAATAGGTGGTAACGAAAACCATCGACGATGTAATAAGGCCAGTTGGCACTGAAAGATGCTAATATAGACGTTGCTGCTTGATGCTAACATGATTCACCTATAAATGATACACGTAAACAGTTTTCCAAATCCATAGAACGATACTTAGTAATGATAGCTGCATCTACGAATATTCACAAGGACCAGAAGACAAGTAGCTTGATGAATAACCCACATGCTACGATAAAAGCGGAGGTTGGCAGGCGTTGTAGAGACGAATGCATCATCAATTACCAATGGTAGCCATATGAATGAAACCCTGTTGACATCCAATGATAGCTGCATCCATCAAGAATCCAAAGGGCACAAGACAAGTAGCTTGCCGAATAGCCCGCATACTATAATAAGAGATGAGGTTGGTGGGCGTTGTAGAAAAGAGCGGATAACGACTTACCAGTGATAGTCATATGCATGAAAACATACTGATATCCAAAGACAGCTGCATCCATGAAATCCCCAAAAGACCAGAAGGCTTGCTGAATAGCCCACATACTATAATAAAATAAAAGAGGAGGTTGGTTGGGCTTGGAGCCAATAAACGGATCATCCACTATCCACTAATGATACCCATGTATGCACGAAAACATGTCGACATCCAATGATAGCTGCATCCATGAAAATCCCAAAGAACCAGAAGACAAGTAGCTTGCTGAATAGACCACATACTACAATAAACGAAAGAGGTTGGCAGACGTTGTAGAAACCAATGGATCACTATTTACCAATGATACCCATGTATGCACGCAATCCTGCTGATATCCAAATCAAGCCGACTCTTTGCAATCGTCCGCTTGTTGATAAGACCAGCTACGGTGGCACCTGGGTTGTAAGTTGTAAGCGATGGAACGATACTTGATGGGCATATACAGTGAGAAGGTTGGGTAATACTTGTACCACCAAAGATAGCATACTTACACGATGCCGAATAGCCCTTGCAAGGAGCGAGAACGAACCAATGTGCTGCCCAAGACCACATGCAAACCGAAAAATCCTCCATCGAAAAGCCCAAACCAGCATCCTAGCTGCGGAAGGGAGTACACTCAGTGATATAGCCGATATGAATGAGATACCAATCCTTTTTCATTGGGTATGGAGTGCAGCTTGGCGATGGAGTCCTTGACGAGATGCATGAATGACTTGGTAACACAAAAGATTCGAACGCGGGACTTCATTGCTTGTTGATGACATGATCCATCCATAAGACACGTATAGTTGTAGAGATCCATCAAAGGGATTGCCGATAACCAGAACCACCAGAAGATCGAAAAGTTGCTGATATGAAAGATATACAAGTTGTTCCTTGCTGCTGATGTGATCAATCGATAAGAGAACTCCATTTCAGGATGCCCACCGAATTGCCGATAACGAGAAAACAATATGATGGGATAAAGCTTGATGTGGAACCAACGATATGGATGCTGTTGCTAGTTGCTGATACAATCCACTCATAAAAGACGTTCATTGGCTGACATTCTCCAGAGAAATCGCCCGTTGCTAGGTAACCAACCACCCGAGACGCAATAAAGATTGACACCATCAAAAGATATAAACACCTTTCCTCATATCGGACATGATCACCCTATAAAAGATGCATGGTAAGAACTTTTCCAAACCCATCCACTAATACTTAGCAATCATACATAGCTATGGCCTTGTAAACTTCAAAGCACCAAAAGACAAGTAGCTCTCTGCAATGGGCCCTCTAAATAATGGTAGGCGTTCCAGCAAAGGTCTCCAAAAAGCTCGAGAGTCATACACACCTGAATCACGTAATCATTACCCGCAGATTTGGGAACCAAATAGGCCATCAGGATGTAAAGTAATAATAAAAGCGCACAGCCAAAGAAACGTCATTGTACCGGTACTCTCCTGTGGGTCGACGCGATGAAGTGCATCAATAGAGATACCATCTTCTCTCTAAAGGCAAGGAGATCAATAGCCGTAAAACGATGGAGCCGTGCGAACAGAGGATGCATTTTTAAATCCCTAAGGCCGCAACATGAGTCGCACTGTCCCCGGGCACAACATGTAGAGCTCCACAGGAAAGTGTAGTACAATGACATCCTTGACGTGCAGCCGTGATAATAATAGTATCGCCGAAAGAGGCTCTGCCACTGTATGGCGCTTGGTAAGTTCACTTGAATCGAACCAATCCCATCATAATGAACACTCTTACCTTGTGCTATTTCTCAATACCATTCCATTGATGCTTGCAAATAACCATGTATCCATCCGATCTAGTATGTGCTGC